AAAGCTCAAGAATTATTTAGTCAAGTATTGTATGCGCGAGCTGTATCTAGAATTTGATGCTGTGTCCATATTGTTTAAAGTATTATCTGTGTTTAAAGCATGCGTGTGATTAATTATTCTTGGAATTCAAAAACAAAGCTCAAGATATAAAAATGCAACGTTATGGTACAAAAAAAGACACATAGCTGGTTGAGATGAGTTAAATGTAATTGGCTCCATGGATATGATTATTGCCCTCTGGCGAGAGACGCGTGAGGGTGAGAGTACGGAGATGTAGGGTTGTCACAAAATTGCCGGGTGTGTGTTTGGTTGCTCCATTGCGAATGCTAACCGTTGTGTCCTGGGAGTAGGCGTGCTGAATCTTGTGGCGCGTTCGACTTGATGAGAAGTTTAGGATCGTTGAGTAGACGTCCGTTGCCGGCACCGCCAATGCAAGAATTTCCTACCAAAGCGTGACCTGATGCTGCTCGTCACGGCAAGTGTAGAGACGGCGGTGTGTGTGTGTGTTGTTTCGTGTGGTCGTGCGTTCTCGTGCGTGCGTGCTCCCTTGCGTGCGTCTTCTCTCTCTCTCTCTCGTATTATTGTCCTTTCTTGTTATATAACCGAATCTTTTTCCAAGTGTAATCTCAGGACCGTGTGTGTGTGTGTGTGTGCGCGCGCGCGCTACTACTCAGGGATTGTGCTGGCAAAATATTCAGGGCTGGAAATTGAAGTAGTTTTAAACGGATCTTTTACCAACGCGCACAGCTGCCGCTGCGTCGCGAGTGGCTTGACGTATGCGCCCCTTGGCGGCTGGCGAGACGGTAGCAATGATGCGGCGGGATCGCGAGGCCCACGTCTCTCTCTCTCTGTCTCTCTCTCCGGGGTTCGATCTCCCCCGAGTGCAAGATCAACGCAAGGGAAATTGCGCCAATGCGCATCTCATTCTGGCAACAGTTTTGAATAGGCGTTAAAAACGAAGTCGGTACCGCACAATTACACCATTGAGGCAATTCAAATAATGTACGGGGCGAACAAGTTATAGATGAGGCGCTAAAATAATCGGGCGGTAATGAGAGGAAACAGCATTTTATTGTTGTTTACAATCTCACCGCACGCGTTTCATCTCGTAACGCTCTACCGCCGTGCGACACGGAGCCATCGTTTTCACAATACTCAATCAGCTGTTGAGTATGAAGAGAGGGGCATTGGAAATCAGTGGGGTATCTAAAAAATGAATCGCCACCCCTTATTTACATAACACTGATTTGATTTTTTTACAGAGCGGACCTCTTCGCAGGAGCATCTGACAGCGATATGCGCCTTACGTCTAATTTAAACTCAATCTTGATTTGAAGCTTTCGTGACTGCAGAAATCCATTTGGTTCTTTCGGTAAAGTCACGTAGGTAGAAAATAAAATAAATCACGACGTTTCGGGCGCAACACATGATAATGGACGCTTGTGTTGTGCCCGAAACGTGATTTATTTTATTTTATAATCTAAACTCATTTGAAAGAGCTTCCCTTGGTGGGAGATGTCTCTACGGGCACAAGGTGGCTCAGCCTGCAAATGGGCATTAGGTGGAGGTGAGGGGGACGTGGAGGGGGGGGATACTTGCTCTGTGTAATTTGTGGATATTTTTTTTCAAATTTGGCAAATTTAGAACATGACACCGGCACACAAGAGCCACCTAGACGTTTTATAATTACTCCAGGGGGGTCTTCTAACGTGCACTGTGAAGCGGATGGCGTGTAGTGTTATAATGGCTATCACAACCGCAGTATTAATCAGGGAGCCCGCTAGGCTCGAATCCCACCGTTACTCTTTGTGGGGACCGCCGGGCCATAAGACATGCCATTCTTAATATAATTTAAGGCTCATTGAGAATGGTTCATTGTTGTGTTGCTCTGGTTCATCCGAACAATTCACATGTGCATTTCGCACACGAAAAAAATTGTCCTGAAATTTAATCAAATGGTTTTGATAACACATTTTTTAAATATATTTTTTAACTAGCACAATGATGAGGTTATGCCAGTTGGCTCTGCAGTTGCCGTTGGCTGATTACATCACGCTGCATAATGCTTTATATCAAAAAGGTTCGTAATGAACGACGATGGGTACGTACACGTACAGCCCTTTGTCAAACCACTGCTGGATGAGGGCCTCGACGAGAATGGGCAAATGGTACAATAATCGATAAGCCATAGAAACGTTCAAATAATCGTCTCTTTTTATACTCAGAAGCTGTGCAAAAAAAAATTGCCCTGTAATATCTCCGAGTGAGTATCCGTAAATACAATTCACCGTAAAACTTTTTTTAATGTTTGTTCCTTTATCCGGTATAGTCTCATTTTCATGCAAAAAGGACTTACTGTAATACAGTACTGTATCCTAAATTCCCGCTTTAAATAATGTCTACAATTTAAAATTACAGTAGACTCGATTAGCCACGTTAATGATGGGGAGGACGGAAGCAGATAATTCTAAATCGCGCATAATCCAAAAATATCTATTTTCCACAGATCTCAATGCCAAAAACCACTAATACATGTATAAATTAAGAATGAATACTAAACATTGAACGATCGATGCGTGTGCTCAGTGATAACACTTTCTTGCTCCCGTGCAGAAGACTCTGCCCACTAAGTGGATAGCAAAGCCACGCCAATCAAAATTAATCAAACTCCTCCCACTGTTGTAAAGATATGCAACTACTGTACTGTAGAGCGATCACGTGCATTTCGGATTAACCGTAGCAACATATTTGTTTGGGTTTAAGCACGTGACTTGTAATAAACATTTCCAAGAATACCAATGTACAACTGTTTTTAAATTATTAATTTGGGCTTGAGGGAAAATCCACGAGTTATTAATTGATGTTTGATAAACCGCACGCGGATAATCGAGTTTACTGTGTAGCGTTTTTATTAGGCTTTGAATATCATTTTGCTCTGAACACGTATGTTAAAATGACATCTCCATTGGCATCTCCCATTAATAAAGAGGTTTTTGGTTTTAAAATGTATTTAATGTAATCTAAATATAACGTACGGCATTTTCAATGAATTTGGACCTACTTTAATCGTGAACATGTTGCCATTTGTTTAAAAATGTTTGCTTACTCACGGTAGTTGTAAAACTATCAAGGTCGTATTGTTAAAGGTGTGTTCTCTCCAATACAGCTCAAATATTGCTAAATTCTGCAATATTACCCTCAAAGTTACTTAATTGGGATTATAACATAGCAGTAACATCGCCCCGCACCCCCACTGCTACGAATATTCGGCAGGACCCTCCTGAAAATAGTCTTGGGACTCGGTGAAATTTTCCTGGTCAAACAAGCATCATTAACAATCATAAAATATTAATAATAAGATTGACACACTCGTGTTGTGTGTATCACCAGCAGCTGTGTTGTAAGCAAAATGATTTCTTAAAAAGGCGGGACGTAATTTAATTTAAATAAAATCAATATCACCAAATTCTAACGTGACCTATATATCGGAACATTGGGTGAAATTTATACAGCCGTGCAATCTGTTTTTAATGCGATACACTAAACCATGCAACTCGTTTTTATCATAAGCGACCTCCCATTGTCTTCTGCTGCTCATCCCCACAGAAAATTATTGCATTTCCCTAAGCGTGCATTGATGTGTTTTGCCGTATACAGGTGGAGCTGTTTACAAATCATCATGCGACAAAATCTGTGAGCCCTAAACGCTCTCCGAAACGTTCCGTGTCTCTTGCTTGCCATACACGGCCGCGTACTTAAAACAGACCGAGTCAAGTCTGCTGGTAGTTGTAGTTATTAATCTTAGCCTGTATTGTGTAGCTGAAAATGCTGTATGCAGACTAAATGCAGATTCAATTGATGCCAGACATATGACCAGTGTTTATATTTAAACAAATCTATATTATTCATTGCTGTTATGAAAATGTCGGGGGTGATTTTTTTTGCTTAACACGGGCTATCGCGACCAATATTATCCATAATAAATGTGTTTTGGGTTAGATCGCGTAAGTATGAATGTGCCATTAAACCCACCACCACCACCCGATACAGCCAATTAGTAAGGTTGGTCACGTAAACAAAACGTGCCACTCAGTTACACCTTCAGCACGCCGGTGTGTTGGAGAGTAAACCCACAACGTTTACAATTTTAGTACCGCGACATTTCCGCTGGGGGCGATTTGCCTGAATTGACGAAGAAGCCCTCCTGTTTTGGTCTCCACGTGTGATTAGGGAAGCCAAAGTGGGGGGCGGGGGGGGGGGTGGATTTATTTTTTTGTCAAGCAGCCGCTGGGCCACCGTGTCGGCGGTTTGTTTTGGCCGAGTCGTTTGCGTGACGGGAGCAGCGTCCGATCGAGCCAGCGAGTCTGCTCGGACGTTTCGCGAGCAAGAGCTGCCCACAGTGCGCCGCAAAAAATAAACGAGCGGACATTGATGGCCAATTCCCACTTTCAGCTGTACCCGACGGAGCCGGTCAAGTCAAGTTTGACACATCGCACGGGCAAATACACCAATTAATTTGGTTTATCGGCACAACCGGAGAAATGTTGAAAAGCAAAGTTTTGACAATTTTATTTAAAAAAACTAAAATGTTTGCTTCATCTTCAACATTCCGGTTTTCTGAATCAATTAGCACATTTGTTCACGTGACAGATTGACTTGGTTGGCTCCGTCTTGTGGTGGTGGGTTATAATTAAAGATTGGCATTATACCTACGTGATCAAACCCAAAAGTAACTCATTATGAATCGTAACACTGATCATGAAAAGCCTACGTATAAGACATGATGTCGTCTTCACGTCAAAAGTGTTTTTACAAATCCCATTGGCCACAAGGCATTCTGGAGGAGTGCATAATTTCAGCAGTATTGATTCAATACAAGGAAACTGTGGACTTGCCTTCGAAAGTGTATCATCAGCACAGGCTTAAATAAGTTGCCCTATTTGTCTTAAAATGTGTTTCCATCTTCATGTGTTCATGAGCTGCCTTTTTGGGTTCCTGTGCAAGATTCCGTTCCACATTAAGGGGCAATATTTTATTGCCATGCTAGTGGTGTTTTGAGTACACTGAATGAGACACGTGGGACACGAGACTTCAGTTAGTGGGGGTGGTGCAAATATGGACAGATAAGCAAGATGAGATTTCAGCTTGCAACACTCATTACAATACAAATGACAGCTGATGGAGTCTTATCTGTGATGCACTGCAACCCAAGTCCATCATTCTCGCCTACATTTCGCACGGTTGGGTACGTACGGTGCGAAAGAAATTCAACGTACGGTCCATACACGGAGAAAGAAATGGTTCATCGCTTGATGCAATAAAGCAAAGCAGCCCCTGTGTGCCTTATACAGCCGGCTGTGTTTTTAGACGTGAAGTTGTGTAAGTCCAAGGTTCTGTTTAATGCGCTACTGTGGCCTGGAAGAATGTGCACTGTGATGCTCCTTTACGAGAGTGCGTATTTTAAATCACAGCATCCACGCGCTCATGTGCTTTCGAACCTCCGCGACTGTGCGTACGAATTCTAGTTGCGATTTTCATGTTTTTATAGCACAGGCAAACACAAGGTCAGTTTGCAAGCCTGATACAAAATGCGGATTTATTTTTGTTTTAGGGCGAGAATTGTTTTTAATGGGAAACCTTTTTGGGCAAATGTGGCATCTTGTAAAATATTTATTAGTGCGTTTTGATAACTTTGATAACCACTTAACGTTGAGCTTTAATGCATTTGTTGTACGTGCTGACATCTCAGTGTGTATGCTCTGTATACATCGGAAACAGACGCTTCTCATAGGCATCAGAATCTTTATTTATCTTGGAAGAATCCAATCGGCTACGAGGTTATGAAGGATCACTTGCGTGCCACCGTGGCTGACCTTTAGGATTGTCACTTAGCTTCGTTTGTTTTCGTACTATTAGATCAAGATAAAACGATAAGTGTAAAAAGTACAAATAAAAGCCAAAATCACCCTGTTGAATTCCACTGTATAATTTGTTTTAATTTCCTTGTAATCATCTTTGTAAAAGTATTTTATATCCAATATCCATATCAAGTTATAAAGTAGAACAAAAATTTGTAGCCTTGTTTTAAAAAGATTGTAAAAAAAAAACCTACCCTTTGTTTAAATATACAATGCCCCCAAATAGTCTTTGTGAACCATAATGAACGTACAGTTTGAGGTCATTTTTATAGGGCAGATACAATGAACCAAAGAATCCTGGCTTGCTGTGGCTGGTTTTGAAATGTTTTCACTTGTGGTTATTTTGTACTTTGGTAATGGCATAAGAATCTCTGAAGTTACTTGAATGTGTCCGAGTTTCTTGGCTTTTTCTGCCGGCTTCAAAGCTAAAATATGAGACCAGTATTTTGTACTCGCAGTATTCAACAACAACAAAAAACCCAGAAAGTTCCTTCCCACGGTGTTTCCGAGCATTTGTCTTCAATGATGAACAGGGTGAGCGATAAAAATGCTGCCAACCTTAAATCCAATTAGAGTGCCGATCCTCGAGAGCGTCTCGTGCGTGCACAACTTGCGTTGTCGAGTCCGCGATTCCATCGGCAATCATCTGGACAAATTCCCCTCCCCGTGTTATTTTTTGCGCCATTTCCGTATGGAGGGTGACGAAAGCACGGACGTAAAGATGAACCCCAATCGCGGCCGTCGCCTCCTTTCTCACGACCAACCACGTCGCGCGACTCATGATGATGGGCAATGGCACATTGGGCAAAGTTGAATAAGTCATGCGCTGCTGTCAACATGAAAGTATTCCACAAGAGCACAGCTTTATAAAAAAAAAAATTGTCATACTTTATCAGAAACAAAAATATACCGTAATGTTGCAGTGTTTGACTTTTGGAATGTAAAGTCATTTGTACAGGCATTAATAATTGTTTACTGATCAAGCAAACTCCTTAATTTATACTCTATTAACGTTTACTGAAGCTGACAATTGTGCTTCTGGGTTCTACAGAAGCAGAGAATATGAGTATTGAGACAACACCTCTGGAGAAGTGTAACTACAGGTGTTAAGAAGTTGAGACACCCAAGTAGACACCTATTGCCAGGCATGGTAATATGCGCGACCACACATCCTAGTGGTATAAAACGCAAACAGTGCTTGAAATTGATTGGCCTGCACCAGAGACGGCCTCCTTTGTGGCATCATCTCACCAGTGGCTGCCAAAATGCGAGCAGTACAAGGGCAATGCAAACACCAAAGCATTAAAATAGTTTGGGCTGAGCCGTTAAGTTAGTTACTTTTGTGTGGAACGAAGCAAGCTGTTACAACCTGCTGCCCAAACTATTCATACTGAGCGAGTCTGAGGCCGACATTTAACTGCTTTTTTGTCCATGAGCCTAGGCCAGATATTTCACTTGTCACTACCACCTGAGGTGGCATAACTTAATCGGCTCCAATTTCTCTACGTGACCAATACCGGTGAATTACGACCATTTCAAATGAGTGGGTTATCAAGCAACATATTTACTAATAAAGTAATTGTCTCCTATTATAAAATAATCCACTATTATTTGCCATAAATACATGGTTACAGCTAAGGTTTTGCTACATTAGGTGGTACTGACTTCTGCTCTGGCCCATGGACTACTTGCTATCGTGCCCAGAAGAAGCCCACTTTGCCGTGCATCTGTTACATAAAATATCACGGTGGCTAGGAGATATTAACTTCCTCGCCTGGTATACAGGAGGTCGTGGTTTCGATCCCGACACTGACACCTGTTGTATATTTGGAGTTTGCATGTCACTCCTCGTGGTCGCGTGGATTGTTCTCCATGTCCTCCAGTTTATTCCCCACACATTTAGAATCGACGTGCATTTAGAATATTTGGCAGCTATAAAATTCCACACGATGCTAAGCCACTTCGTTGAGATATAATTTGTGGCCAGGTCGCTTCTGAAAAAGACCTATTTATCTCAGTGGATCTTACCTGGCAAAACAATAAAAGGTTTAGTTTTAATTTAGTTGTGATGCTTGTATCTGCATCTATTTTAATTTACCACAGCTGCATTGAATGTGCCCTTTAACAAACCTTTGCATATTTCAGAAAAGTTGGTTACAACATGCTTACTACTACTTATTCCTTGAGCTGGCAATTACAATCGTGAATGTACACAAATATCTGCTGGTCAAGCAATGTTCCCTTTTGTTTTTGTTTAAACAGTGTTCCACCAATGGGTCGAGTTGCACGCATATCAACGCGTTGTGCTGTCGCTCGCGTGATTTGTAATTGGGTGTTTTTCAGGGGAGGCACTGTAATTTGTGAGGAAGCTCTCCAGCGAAATTTTCAGCGTCAGGAAGTGATTCGTGCCGTAGGGGTGACGACTGGCTATCGAAACGGTCATGGTGAATACGACAACATCGCGATACCTCAAAACGCACGGATGAAATCGCATATGCTCCTATGTTGCTACTGAAGTTGAAGCCTGGTTTTCTGTATACAAATAAAATCTGTTTACTTGACTGGTTATGTTTGCGTGCTTCTGTTTTCTATCTTGTGATGTTGATGGTCATGTGTTGGCAATTCGTGAGTGCTAAACCTCCCCAAGTGTGTCTCAAGAATTTTCAATTCGTGCGACGTTTATTTTAACATTTTCAACACCAAAATATCGGTCCATGTTCAAAGTCGACAATAAGAGACGTTGATCAAGTGCATCGTGCACGTGGAATCTAGTTAGGCTTTAGTCTGAACACTTCAGTCGCTCGTTGCACTGACCAACTGCTTAAGACGATCCGTCTCGTGAACTCCGGGGACAATTAACTCCGAAGGCAGGGTCCAGACACGCGCTGCTCCAGACTGTAAACCCACTGCCAAAAGTCCCGGTTGCTTTGGGTTGAAGGCAAGGCAGGAGACTGGACTCAAACTTGGACTTGCTTGTATGCAGTGTACCGGACCACTGTCCTTAATGGCCAAGTCAAATAAGAGTAGTTCACCTGCAAAGACACGTCGACATTACACGGCGTGTCAGCATTGAACAGTCCGAGGCAGTAGCTTGTATTTCGTTTTGCACAGACGATGGCGAAAGCGATGGAGAAGTCCCTTCTTCTTTCTATGGGATTTTTGGGGATTGCAACAGAAGTCCCGATCTGCAGAGATGTAGAGTTGGCAAGGTTTCTGGAGTTTGAGGAATAAAATCCATGCTCCAGATTATAACCTGCTCCGGAAAGTGAGACGCACCCAAAGCCTTTTGGGTCATTTTGAAAAGAACAAAATTGTAGGACAGAAGGGTGTAAAATACAAATTTACAAAATATAAAAGTGGAAACTGGGGAAAAAAGTCGCCAAGTCGGCAATTAAGTTTGACTGCACTCGGTGTGAATTCATTTATTCAACTCGCGTTATTTTAAGGAGCTGCTGTGCACATTAAGTAGCTAACTACCTGGTGCCAATTAAAATGTTAAAGTCTGGTCACGCAGCAGCAAACGGCACGAATGAATGTGTAAAAAATCAAGTGTGAATACGTTTCTTTAATTTAGAAAAGTAATGAGAATTTGGGTAACCATAGACAAAAAGGGAGGAGATTCCAAAGTGTGAGGGAAGAAGCGGAAAAATAATTGTTGTGACCTCCAGTGTGGTGGTGGAGCACAGTGTGGATGAGACGAAACGGTACGGGAGACTGAGTTCCTCAACATGGGTGGAGGAAACGGCGAGTGAAGTAGGAACGGTGAGCATGGTTGCAGCAAAAGTGCTATAAGGAGGCAACTGACTAGCTACCGGTAAAAAGGCAACATCAGCGTGTTTATGTTCGCCGAGTTTGAGCCAGTAAGGACACAAGCACCACCACTTTTCACCCGGGCAAACTGGAGAGAACAAACAAGATTCGAGGCTTTCGTGACTGCGGGAATTACTCTTTGGTTCTTTCGATAAAGTCACGTAGAAAATAAATTAACTAATAACAATACGACGTTTCGATTGCAACACAAGCAACCATCATCAGGTACAAATAAATGAGAAAACAAAGATAGTAAACTTGGAAATATAATGCAATACAACACAGAGTCGGGCCAACACAACAGTCAACATCCCCACCTGGTTGATTGCATTCTTCCAAAGATTGCTAAATTTGAGAGAGAGACAAAACATAGACACGGAGACACACAGACAGACACACAAGCAGAGAGAGACTCACACAGAGACACACAGAGAGAGACTCACACAGAGACACACAGAAGACAACGTCTCTGTATCGAGGCCTTAAATAGAGAGAGGGGGGGCAGAGGGGGAGTTGTGTGGAATTCCTGCCCATGGCGGACGGACGAGCTGGACACTGGACATCTAAACAAACAAGCACGGAGCGTTGTGTGGAATTGTGTGGAGAGAACAGTTTTAGATATTTATTCACTTATCACTCGAACAATTATACATATTTAAGAATGCAGAGTTATATATACACACACAAATAAAAATATTTTTTTAAATACCAACTTCAAATGTTATCAATGATTTTCATACGGCCTGGTATACTTCCCATATCGAACAAGGCCAATGAAAAATCGCGTGATTTATTTTTTGTTTATCTTTGACGATCACATTAGAATCAGAATATGTATTTATGCTGGAGGAATCCGATGAGCCGTAAAGCTCTTTTTCACAGATGTCCAGCAGGCATAGAAGTGTTACCTACAGCCCACCTTGTTTCCTAGAATAAAATCTCACTGCTTTCCGTTGATTTCCGCCCATTTCCTCAAACCTTGCTTCCGCTACCTTCGCAGTAGGGGCAAGGTCAGAGCGTCGACGATCTTCGCAGTAGGAGCAAGGTCAGAGCATTGACGACCTTCACAGTAGGAGCAAGGTCAGAGCGTCGTTTACCTTCACAGTAGGAGCAAGGTCAGAGGGTCGACGACCTTCACAGTAGGAGCAAGGTCAGAGCGTCGATTACCTTCACAGTAGGAGCAAGGTCAGAGGGTCGACGACCTTCACAGTAGGAGCAAGGTCAGAGCGTCGATTACCTTCACAGTAGGAGCAAGGTCAGAGCATTGACGACCTTCACAGTAGCAGCAAGGTCAGAGCGTCGTTTACCTTCAAAGTAGCAGCAAGGTCAGAGCGTCGACGACCTTTGCAGTAGGAGCAAGGTCAGAGCGTCTACTACCTTCGCAGTAGGAGCAAGGTCAGAGGGTCGACGACCTTCACAGTAGGAGCAAGGTCAGAGCGTTGACGACCTTTGCAGTAGGAGCAAGGTCAGAGGGTTGACGACCTTCACAGTAGGAGCAAGGTCAGAGCGTTGACGACCTTCACAGTAGGAGCAAGGTCAGAGCGTCTACTACCTTCACAGTAGGAGCAAGGTCACAGCGTCGACTACCTTCACAGTAGGAGCAAGGTCAGAGCGTCAACGACCTTCACAGTAGGGGCAAGGTCAGAGCGTCTACTACCTTCACAGTAGGGGCAAGGTCAGAGCGTCAACGACCTTCACAGTAGGGGCAAGGTCAGAGCGTTAACGACCTTCACAGTAGGAGCAAGGTCAGAGCGTCTACTACCTTCTGCAGTTGATGCGGCGAGCACCAGGGGCCGTGCGGGCGACCATGCAGCAGCCAGGACGTAGGAGGTTGCGGCGCGCACCACGAGAACGGGGTCATGAAGCAGCGCTGAGAACACGCGCACCTGCCCGTCTATGCCGCCGCTCAGAAACGCGTTCCTAAAAACACGGACGCAAACACAGCCGCAGCGTGTGTGAAAGGATCTACGCGTGAATCTCATCGTCTTTGTGTTTTTGGTTAATTCACCTATTTGGGGTTTCAACCTTTGCAAGGTCACCTTTGTTGAAAGGTCACCTTTGTTGAAAGGTCGCCGTTGAGCCAAGGAGGCTCAACGACATTGAACTCCAAGGCTTCGTCGGTCGACAGACTAAACGCACGTTTACTTTGACAATTAAAAACATGCCTTAGCTTGTTTTTCAATAACCGCAATCTACCGAGACAACTGATTTTTTTGCTGTTTTTACTGAGAGCATAGTTACCATTGCTGAGTCATTCTGTAACAGTACCAGCTTGCACTGACACACCGCGTGTGAACTGGACATCTGTAAAACTCCTGGACGTCTGTAAAAAAAAGAGCTTCATAGCTCATCGTATTTCTCCAGTAGAAATAAATGTTCTAATTCGGAAATTATACATAAGGTTTTAAAGATTGGCGTTTATAGAGCGCGAGACTGACCTGCTGCAGTCTAACCAGCGGCACCCCCAGTGGTAGCTCTCACTGCATAACAAAGTGTACGGAACACCAGCATGAAAATGACCATTAGTCTGCCAATATACAGTTTTCGTTTTCCCAATTAAGTCATTTGCGAATCGTTTATCGAATTTGGACCCACGACGCCGGCACACATGGCCGGCTATTTTTCAAATAATGTCAAGGGGATCTCTTAACATCCACTGTAAAAGACGAAGAGACAAGGATTCAAGGTGAATACACAGCCTGCAGTATTTAAACAGTGCGGCCGATGGGCTCCGAACCGCATACCTCTGACAACAAGCGACGAGAGCGCTACTGCTCGGCTACGGAGCAGTGACAGTAAAGCTGTGGGATGCCGCACCTGTTGAAAGGAGAGAAGTTAACAGCGTACACCGGTCCTTGGTGCTTCACGAAGGGGAACAAGGCTGGGCTCTTCCTGTTTAAAGGCGGCTGGTCTTTTCGAGTTGGTTGCTCGAGAGGCTCCAGGAGACACCTTACCACCTGCCCGCCCTCCAGCCCAGCCACGCACATGGATGAGTCCTCCGAGAGTGAGAATGCCGTGATGCCCAGAGGCAGCTCACTTTGTACCTGCGCGGTCAATGTGTACAAACACGCAAGCAAGCCCAGGTTTTAACTGCGAGAGATTTTTAAGGCGTTACTCAAGGTGCATAGCCACGAAGTGAGAACGTGCAGACGGGGTCACATTTATAGACCGTGGCGAACCATCATCATAAACAGCAATGGTCAGTCCACTGCTGGGTGAAGGCTTCCTCCACCCACAAGCGACTCCTATCTCTCGCGGCTCCAAAATGCAACAATTCAGCCGAGCACCTGATTTCATCACTCCATCTCTTCAGTCTAGATCCTATCCTCTTAGGACGAACTCCAATCCTTGGCTGCCACTTCATCACTATTCTTGAAAATCGGCCATCATTCCGTCTAGCGACGTGTCCACGGTATGCAAGATTTATTTAACCTGCATACTTTCTACAATAAGCGTGCTCCTCTTTCTATCAACCGCGAAAAATAAATGCATGTTCATCTACTGATCGTGGTTCTCCATTCAGATGTCCTATCCATCAGCATGTGACACTCTTCTTCAGATTTGGTGTTTACAATAAATATTAACTGAGTGCTCATGTGTTTTAATGCCAGAAGGATGTGCTTTGAGGGTTAAATTGCCTCTTTTACAGCATGTTATTTGCTGCATGTACTGTCTTTTGTTATATTACCTAGATTTGACTATTTCACTGTGAAGCATTTGACTCGAATGCTAATTAAACAACTTGAATATATGTCTTCAGGGGTTTGCACAGTCCCCACGTCACTTGCATTCCTTGTTTTCCAAGTTTGGGTGCTTGCCAGATTTTTCGACTTTTGTTTCTATGTAGGAAAGTTGAGTTCCTCCACTCGATGTATGACTTACTTTGCTAAGGGTGGAGGTGCTGGGAAGATGCTTTGCTAGGAGCACAACCCTGTTGTTTGGTGTGATCTTCCTTGTGCTCAGCTCCACTCTCCAGGTCATCACGCACCCATCCAACCCAGCCGACATGAGCAACAGCACCCGACTCTGACCTGGAGAATGGACCCACTGCACCTGGGGAAGACACAACATATGACCTCGGTCAGAACAAACTTAATTATAGATCGTAATTCAATTTCTAATGTTTGGCCAAAAGTCACCTTATGTTTAGAGTCTGGAAATTCCACATTCTTGTGTCACTCCAAATGATAACTTCCCACAATTGTACACATTTTTTTGTCTATTAAAAATATGCCCCCCCCCCCCCCACCCAAAAAAAAATTCATCCCAAATGTACTGTCGGTCAGAGTCATGTCATGAGACGCAATATCAAGCTGGGATCTCCCTCCTTTGTATGATAGTGCAAACATTCGTGTTTTGCGAATGACCCAAGGGACCTGGTTAACACATATAAGAGCAATGTTCATCACATGACAGTGAAATCCAGATTTTAATGCTCAGAGCTGGAATTTTGCCAAATTAAGCAGATACCAACATTTCACGTGATAGCACTGTTGTAGCATTGATGACCAGGCTCGTGATGACCAGACTCGGGCCATCAACTTACTACGTGCATGTTATGGACCCCAAAGGGAGGGTTAGCACGGTTGACTACGTACGCTGCGAAAGTTCAACAGACATATATACGTATGCATGCATAGATGACGCTCCGAGTTGACTCATCAAGACTCTGTATCATAGAGCCCAATGCATATCCGACCAGGAACACATAGGCAGTGAACTCAAGCACGTACACCAAGCTCTTAAGGCTAATGGTTACTCCGACTATACAATCCGCAAAGCTATCACTCAAATCATGAAGAAGGACCCTCTTGAGGAGCCTTTCAAAACCATCACTTTACCCTACATTGCGGGGATCACAAAAAAGATCTCCAAAATCTTGAATAAACACAAGATCCAGGTCCGTTTCAACACATTACATAAAATCCGTGATCTGGTTCCGTCTGTAAAAGATGTGATTCCGGACATACAGTACCCTGGTGTCTACAAACTAAGTTGCCTCTGTGGTAGTAGTTACATTGGAGAAACCAAACGCTATGTCTCGGACCGCATTCGTGAACACAAAGCAGACCTTAAACACGGTAGGACCAACACCTCGGCCGTGGCAGATCATTGTTATAATTCAGTAGGCTCACATGACATTGACTTTTCCAAGACAGAGGTTCTTTGTAAGCCATCTGGCTACCATGAGAGATTCGTTCATGAGGCTATCCACATATACAAGCACAGAGACAATTTCAACCGAGAAGATGGATTCTGGCTTAGCAATCATTGGAAAGATTTGATAAACCATTTCAGGTCTTAATTGATTGTTCACGCTTACAGTGGCTTTCAGACAGCATACATTAATTTTTCGTCTCCCCCCTCCTCTTTTCAGAATATAGATGGACTAGTCCTTCTAAATAAACTGCCAAATCGCTGCGCGTGGCGCTGACGTGTTTTAAATAAATAAATAAATACACCGTTTAAAAATACCTTAATGCAAACCGCCACACCTGATGACGACCGTTTGTGTTATGGTCGAAACGTCATGAGAATTTTTATTGTTATATATATTTTATTATTTTATTGTTTCCCTTCAACGTGACTTTACCGAAAGAGCTAAGAATATGAATTACTGCGGTCATGAAAGCTTTAAATCAAAATTTAACCGCCTCTACGGGGAGGGTTTCCACATAACTTTAAGATCCTTCAACAAACTCCGGGATAAGAAGGCTCAGCTGATCGAGTCTCTCACCTTTCTGAAGAGATGCCGCGACTCTGGGGTAATACCAATCGCATTTACACTGACCTCTGCTGCTGTAACTTCTTCTAATGCGAAACGAATTGTTTTCAAAACTAGCTTAGCTCTTATCTCAGAAAAAATCGGACTTATACGCACCGAACTAGATCAGTTAGACAAGACACTCTACAAATCACACTTATCATTGACGGCAACAATGTCCACATCGGATTGGGAACATGTAGACAATATGACTGCCTCTTCAGCTGCTACTATGTCGACCAAATGTAAGGACAACCTGATTTCCAAATTTAACGTCCTCTTCAACAAAAGACTGGACCCACACACCAAAAAGTTATATATTAACAAAGTCGTAATTAATCGCAGTAACAGTTCTATTTCCGATGGTCTGAAATCCGTTTTAGCTAAAGGTCTAAACTTTGCAGTCACACCTAAACACATACCAGTTAGTGATATAATTGCCCAAGTAGACGTTGCTCTCAGGGGCCTGGGTCACATCGCTGCAGACGTAGCAAGATCTGAAATCGCTGCAACCCTCAAAAACGCTAAGATGCCAGCTAGCAACCTCAGCAAAGATGAGCGTTTGAATTATATAAATTAAAAAATAGGGATGATATTGTAGTCCTCTCAGCTGACAAGGGCAATGCTACTGTCATCATGGATAAAATAGAATACAACAACAAAATTAAAGAATTACTCGACGATGGTAGTTATACAAAAATAAAAAGAGATCCCACCAACAGCCTCGTCACACAAACCAACAAAATAATTTCTGATTCAACCGCATTAATTGATCAATCTAAACTGTTTTCGTTGAAACCTTCTGCTGCCAGGCCACCAATATTATACGGCTTACCAAAAATACATAAAGTAGATACACCCCTTCGTCCCATCGTCTCTACTATCAACTCCCCCACCCACAAACTGGCTCGTTTTTTGTCTGAAATCCTGCGTCCTTTCACTGGAAAAAACACCTCTGCGGTACAAAATTCTACTCACCTGGTATCGACAATCAAGGGTATTTCCCTGTCCCCAGACGACCTGCTTGTCAGTTTTGACGTAGTTTCCTTATTCACCAAGGTTCCTGTACCTGACACCATCGCAATCATTGAAGACTTGGTTCATCAAGGACTAAACACTGAAGTACCCCCCCTGGTGAGACACTGTTTAACCAATACATACTTCACTTGGAATGGAACTTTCTACAAACAAACTGAGGGCACCCCAATAGGCTCCCTCCCATCTCCGGTTATAGCTAACATTTTCATGGAGAAATTGGAGACTGACGCCATCCAGACTGCCACTCTGCGCCCAACCTTATGGAAGAGGTACGTGGATGACACTTTTGTCATCTGGCCACATGGCCGGCCTGCTCTAGACCAATTCTTCGACCACATCAATTCCATACATCCAGCCATCAGATTTACCATGGAAGTCGAAAAAGATGGCAAGCTAGCTTTTTTGGATGTCCTAATTAAAAAGAGACCTGATGGTTCAATGAGCCACTCTGTCTACAGGAACGCTACCCATACGGATGCTTATCTGAAACCGGATTCCCACCACCATCCATCACAGAAGAATTCTCTCATCCCTTCAACGTGACTTTACCGAAAGAGCTAAGAATATGAATTACTGCAGTCACGAAAGCTTTAAATCAAAATTTAAATCTGTACCATCGTAAGAAGCCTGTGAAATAGAGCCTAACAGCTCAATTTGCCCTTCCTGCTGAAATAAATCAAATACAAAAAATGAAAACACAGCACCTCCAGGCTGTATTTGTTATACATAATTAAAATTCACTCCACTGTAGAATAATCCTTATTAGCGGTGTCAGGCTATGATTGGGGTGGAGAAGTGATGCACTGATTAGTGCACTGCGCTATTAACCCCTTCCACCCAAGTTTGATTCTTGGCCACTACTAACATCAATGGCAAGTGATATATGAACCAGGCCTGCTCACCACTTAACCAACTCGCCCAGACTAACCTGGAGAAGTATGGTCAAACAACTCCCACAGTGTGCGGAGGCCTTCATCCAGCAGTGGAATGACAAAGGAGTTCAAATTATTACATACAGGTACTTATTTTAGGTTATTATATTTGGAGATATGGATTAACCCTGCCTGACATTAAACCATTCCCACCTCGAGCCGGAAAAGAAACAAACATTTTTTTTTTAAATAACTTTATCGGTACCGAGGCTCCCACAAGGCCATGCGAGAGAGCGAGGCATAGTTTGGCGCCAGCTATCGGAGAGTGTCGCTGCGGTTCTCTATGGTGAGTACGCGATGTCTTTAAAAACAACGGCGCAATACCTGCCTAAATGAAATTACCGTTGAACGGCGAGCGCGTGCCGAGATTCAGCCGTGAACGGCACCCACCCTGAAATTTTAAGTCGTCTCGGAACGGGAAAGGGCAAAGGATGTTTGCCCCATGTTGTACCTGGGTCACGGGCTGCTGGTGTGTAGTGGCATTTACGCCACTATGAGCCAGGAGTGGATCTTCCTCCTGCGATGTGTCCCATACAAACACCTCTCCGCTGCTTGCACCACCTGCATTCACGTATCAAGGGACAAACATGCATACAGCACATGCATAAACCATACGTATAACTACATGAGAGCCCATGTAAAACAAAGTCTGTTTTGCGAGATAGGACTAAGGCTCCAACAAAGAATGCGTAGTGCAAATACGTGTCCACGTAGAAACGTATACGTGATCGAGAAAAATATAATCGTGAAAATGTTTCTTGTTATCAAAGCAACACGTGTACATGCAAAATAAACACTAATAAAACCTAACACCTCCGATTAGCACGGTTGACTAAGCACAGTGCAACAGAAGTTCAACATGCATACATACAGCATTCTGTTAACCGTAATCAGCTGTACCTCTATCTGGGAGTTGCTATTCACTTATCAAAAACATTTACCATGGAAAAATATGGCAAAAAAATATTGATATTGACGAGGTGGCTAGGTGGATCAGAGGTCAAAGCAATTAGCTGGATGTCAGCCACCCAGAATTAAACACCAAAGTTCTCAAGTGAAGCATGTTATTGGTCTCATCCCAGTCACCGAGGAATGCCAAAAAAATACCTGAAATTTGATGTTTCACATCATTTGGATAATTTCCAAAAATACTGTTTCACGTCCATGCAAGGAACAGCAATTTTACAGCGAAGTTGGAATGTGCGCCCCCTATTGTGTAAAGATAAATAGGCCACTGCAAGGGATTTTCAGAAGAATCTCTGTGAAAAATCTCTCGAGCAGCTTGTTCTTAGACACAGAGGGCTGCAGTTCTCTGTGAAATTTCTTTATGGATTATTTTTCTCATGACGTGATGCCGATATTCCACCAGGAAGAACATTTGGGGAAAGAACAAACAATGTAAAAACAGGTTCACAAAATGAAAATATGATCCAGTAACCGAACGTTTAAATGTCGCCGATCTCATTCCACGCAATGAGATTGGCGACCTGTCGGTTGCAAGCCACTTATGCCAACCATTCTACCGCGGAAGCATCTCTCACGTCACAAATATTAAAGGAGAATTAACAACAGTGTTATTTTTACCTGCAATGACCGCTGGCCATGTGGGGTGGAAGGAGAGGCACAGCAGGCAGCCTGGAACATCCAATGTGCGATCAGGCATGTCTGGGATCAGCCCTCTCCGGCACACATTCCACAAGCAGATCATCGAGTTCTCCACAGTCCAATCTCCGTCATTCAGTCTGCAATGTAAGAGTTGTTGGGGACAAATTCAGCAAATTACCCTCCTGTCGAATGGTACAGTATTCCTTCGTTATTCGTAAGGGATATGTTCCAGAGATGTCCATGAATAGCAAATTTTGCAGATAACGATATTGGCTCTACGAATATCGTACGGGTAATGTCTGCAGATGCTTCTATAGTTTCAAAAAGGTCTCTCTCTCTATTTCTCTCGTCACTTTATATCATCACATTCTTTCTCATCACTTTATCTCACCACTTTCTCTTTCGATCCAGTTGTGCAGAGTTCCAGATGCGATTCGCGGATAGGCAAAATCGCGGATAGCAAGTATGTGAATAACGTGGGAATACTCTACTCGTATATGTTCAAGTTCAAGATGTTTTTGTTTAACCAGGCGATAATTCAAAGAGACCAGGATAGTTTCATTTGCAAGAGCGACTTAACAGGGCACCAAAATGACAAAGGCAAAAACTAAATAAAAGTACAACAATGATGCAAATAGAAATTATTGTGTAAAAAACTGCGTCACGTGAAAATCTAAATATTACTCAAACATAAATCAGTGTTAAATACCCCGTTGCGTAAGTCGGCTTGGACACATTATATTTAGTACGATTACAATTAAGTTTCAGAAACATTAAACATATATAGGTGACTCTTGTACTATTTTTTTCTATATTAACTCAGCCACTTCTTACTCAACTCCCCCCCCCCATTGTCATTGATTTAAAGCACTGAGATTTTATGAAAGGCGTTATACAAGCTGTAATTATTAGCATAATTTAATTTTAATGTACGGATAAGAAAAGTTTAATTTAGACCGTCCTACCCACTCCCCACTAAAAAAATATATACTGCTCATTGGCATCTCTTGTCGCAGAAATAAACTCAGGTGACGAAAGGTGCTCATCAATTAAACGGCACACACCCCGTTAATAATACATCGTTGCTGAATAAATACGCGGAAATGGAAATGTTAAGAGATTGACGCATCCGTACCGTCCAAAGGCCACACCAATCATGGCTCCTGTGCAGCTCCAACCGACGGCAGTCGCAGCCAGCCCTCGAGTCTTCGCCTCTGCGCAGCTCAGCTCATGCAAGCAGGAGATCTGGGAAGAGTATAACATCAGGAACATCGACAGCAGTGGTTTTTCCCTCTGCGGTATGTACGTATGTTGTATGTTTAACTTCTTTCGCACCGTACGTAGCCAACCACGCTAATCGGAGGTGTGGCGGGGGGGAAGGACAAGAAAGTAAATACAAAAAGCACTTCTAAAAGAATGAGTTTTCAATCGAGATGACTTAAAAGTGCATAGCTCCAGTGGCTTCCTAAAGCCGAAAGGGAGAGCGTTCCAGACTGGCCGCAGAAGTGCGTCTGAACGCGCGCGATGCGGTCTATAGCGGCCCAACAATCACGACCCATGGTGTACGACCCCTCCAAGGTTACCAAGGCCACAATATCAACCTGCTAGGTCACTAATGCCACAACACACAGCTACAGAAAAGCAGATACACACGCCTCTAATCAATGAGGTGGAAGGCATTTGTTTCATGTTGTGTAGTAGTATATTTTGTGTTCGTAAGGCATTTGCTTCATCTTGTGTACGAGTGTGTTTTATGTTACAGGCATTTGTTTCGTGTTGTATAGTCCCGTAGTGTTGTGTCTCCACCCACCACCTTCTACAATCCCCACCATCTTCTACAATCCCTACCACTGCCCAAAGCAACTAAACCCCAGTTTCCTTTGCAGTCTCATCATCATCATCATCACCACCTCGTCACCAGCACGAGCCTCATCATCCCCTTACCGCTAACCTCCGGGTGCCACTCCAAAGCATGTCTCCAGAACCTCTATCCATAATCTAATCTGTCCCCAGTCCCGCGTGTGCCCCACCCGTCACAACCTCCTCTTTCTGATTACATCCACGACTCTTATACCCATCACGTCTTATTTATTTTAAGCTTCCGATTTGCCCAATCCCATCCTGCTCGCCTTGGTGCATGAGGCGTGACAGGTTGATCCATTTCTAGGTACCGCACGGATTTGTGACCCTATTTCTCAACAGGTTTGAGCTCGAGTTTAATTGATTTGTTACGCGGATGATCCAATTTATCCAGCTGCGCGGATATTTTACAAGGGAAGATTCCGTGGCGCGTGAGAAAGGCAACCATAAACAACAACAAAAACACACATCAATATTGCCGAGAACGATTACAGGCTCCGCAGGAATATTGCCCAACAAACGAGGTGCTTTAACAGTCGCAAACAAGACAGGAGACGAATCTAAAAACAGTGCAAACGTAGCGTGAGAGCAAAGAGTCACAAGAATAAAGGTAGGCACGGGCGTAAGCAAGCGCTGTAGTTTTGTCGAATTGGGCCACAATGAGGGATTTAGAGTGAAGGGAGTGGAACAGGGGTGTACAGATAGGCGGTAGGCGTGTTCCATAAACGTGGGGCATGCAGAAACGCGGAAAGACTTTGGGGCTGTCCATAAATGACGTCACGCGGTTTTGGACGATTTTTTTACACCCCCCCCCCTTCGTTCCACGGCGTCAAAAAAAGTCAGACCCCCCCCCCCCTCAAATATGACGTCACAAAGCTCTGCCCCCCCCCCCCAAAATAAAACATGCTTCAAATCGCTTTAAACTATTGTCATTGTAGTGCGTATTTAATGTGGCGCTGCACTCTGTTGTTGTAGGAGAAAACATTTATTATAAAGTCTATCTAATTAAGTAGAACGTGTTGTCTATATTTATTTAAAGTTGCGCATTTTGATGTGACGTCACATTTCTCAACCCCCCCCCCCCTAGTCACACATCGTCACAAATGTCTGACCCCCCCCCCACCTTAGGTGCGTGACGTCATTTATGGACGGTCCCTTTACCCAAGCCAGTTTAAGTGGAATTTTAGTCGTAAATAAAAAAAGGCACTTCTGAGGCTACGGGGAAGGGAGTTTCGAGCAACTGAAGTGGTTCTTTAGGTAATTGGCGGATTTGTTTAAGAGGACCTTTAGGATGAGGCCACCCAAGTGATGGTCTCTCCGGATATACAGGCGAGGACATATTTGAGATTAGTGGTGAAAGTGGTGGCTCAATTCCTTACAGTTGGTGGTTGGGGATTGTTAAAATATCAAATACAGTACAGTACACGTCCTGAGATTAGTGGATGATACATACCTGTCAACCCATTATCAGTGCCCCTACCTTATTAAAGACAAATTCAGACCTTATTGGTCACCCCGTGCTCCTTATAAATCTCAACGTTCATCCCACAAAGTCCCATCACAAGGGAGAAACAAAAAGACCAAAACATGTTGGTTTTTTGCCCGTAAACTCAAATTTCCCTGCACAAGAACACGGAGGAACCTGTACGGGTTGACAGATATGGTGATGTCATCACCATCCATGGGTCATGGTCAATCCACTGCTGGATAAGGGCCTGTGAATGGCAATCCATTGGAGGAGTACGACACTTTGCAATGTGTATTGAGATTGTTAAGGGGACATGTACTGCATGTTTTTAAATGGTGTTTTCTGTATAATGCATATATAATATTAGCGGGAATGTCTATACACGAGATTTTACAGTGGCCCCCTCGTACTGACTGACACATGTCGCTGTTTTGCAAGAGTCGTGAGGGCATCGCGTCAGAATAATTTGTGTTTTTTTTTATTTATACTGGCGGAATCTGACGAGCCACGAAGCTCTTCGTGTGTTCACAGACGTCCAGCGTCGCGATCACGCAAAGCCGCGGTGCCCCCCCCCCAACCAACCCCGCCAGGCCTTCACCTCCTCTCCGCGCTCCGTCCAGGCCACCTCGTGGCCGTCAAACGCCTGGCTCGTGGCGTTCATGCGCAGCTGCTCGCTCAGCACGGGCTCGACGGCGAGCAGGAACGCCAGGAGGCCGCCCTCGTCGTCGTCGGCACCCGTGGCTCCGCGCCCGTGACGCCGCGAGCCCGCCTCGGGGCTCGCGGCCGTCTGCGAGCCGCGCGTAACGCAGCGCCTCGCCTGGCTCGCGGCGTCGCGGCTCTGCGGCGGCTCGCTCTGGGCGGCCGCGTCAGCCCGGGCCCGAGGGCCCTGCCGCTGCCGCTGCCAGGACGAGGAGGTGCAGCTCGCGGCCGCCTCGTTCGACGCGTCCGAGAACATCTTCTCCTCCTTCCTTCTTCTGCCGCCGCTGTCGTGTACTGCCGCTGTGGATGCAGCGCAACCAACTTGCAGGTTCACATTTTTGAGGTGGCCGAGCCAAGATCTGCAGCGCGGTCACCGACGAGGAGACGCTGGGGCTGGGAACCCCGCGAGTGATGGCGGATGGCGTGCGGGTGCCGGTTACCATGGAGACCGCGCGCTGGTCGCGAGTGACGTCACGTGCATTTAAATGAGCTGCTGAGGCGGTAACGTGACGTTCCCGCCCTCTGAAGTGGCAATGCGAGTGACGTCACGTGCATGCAAATGAGCAAACGGTGGTGATGACGTCACTGGTATTTTGACTTCTCGTACGCTGTGACGTCACGTTACATTGCCGAGACGCGTGCCCGTGACGAAGGGCTATTGCCTAAAACGTTGCCTATATTCATTTTAATGATTTGTTTACCATTCTTCTTATACTTTGCACTCCTATAGTGTTTTTGTATTGTTTGTTGCTATAAAAGAAAAAAGAGCTTTATAGCTCATTGGATTCCTCCAGTATTCCACATTCCCATGACTGGGACCGGACTTTTCATGACAACCACTGTTGACTGCGCGCAAAGCGGAACTCGATTTATCGACCTCCATTAGATGATTGGCTGCATCAGAGCCAGGATTTGAGAGTGAAGCGTGCTGATCTGCGCCTCACATTCTAATTGAGGTGGAATGTTCAAGTAGCCTCACACTGCTCCAAATACATTACAGGACAGGATCTCAGATTCAAAAAAATGTATCTATGGGGCCGTCCATAAATGACGTCACGCACCTGGGGGGGGGGTCAGACATTTGTGACGATGTGTGACGAGGGGGGGGGGGTTGAGAAATGTGACGTCACATCAAAATGCGCAACTTTAAATAAATATAGACAACAAGGTCTACTTAATTAAAGACTTTTTTTAATAAATGATTTCTCCTACAACATCAGAGTGCAGCGCCACATTAAATACGCACTACAATAACAATAGTTTAACGCGATTTGAAGCATGTTTTATATTTTTGGGGGGGGGGGCAGAGCTTTGTGACGTCATATTTGAGGGGTGGGTCTGACTTTTTGTGACGCCGTATGACGAAGGGGTACAAATCGTCCAAAATCGCGTGACGTCATTTATGGACGGCCCCCATTGTTTGGATGAGATTCCTTGTCAAAATGCATACTGCATAAAAATCTAACGTGTGCTGGTGTACACGTGTCATTACGAGGGATTTCACAATAATTATTCAAATATAATTGAGCTCTTCACCAAATATTCGACTTACACAAATAACCCCCGTGTAGCCTTCACAGACTGCTGGGGCAAGTGCTGTTAGCGAGCAGCACCTGTGAAGGCCGGCACTGTGGCTCACGAGGGGGTGGGTGGCCAGCACCACGCCCGGCCGCCTTTGTCTCCCCAGTGGCGATGTTTACTACGCACCGCACCAGGTACTCGTTTGGGGCTGAGTCGACCTAGGGGAGCCCAGGACCGGTTCAGATAATCGTCACCGGTGTTGGAAACCGTGAACTCGGGTCCCCTGGGGTTCGTAGCCAATGCCAATAACAACCGCGATTCGCCACTAAGTGACGGTGACGTCCCCACGACGCCTGTGCCAGGCTAGGTGCACTTTGAGGCTGCCACGGGAAGTAGCGAAGGCTCGCTGACAGGTCACGGGACAGACCCAGCAGGTGCCATGGCTGAGATAACCGGTAGATGCACCACCAGCTGTCCCCTACTGTGCCAGGCTAGGTGCAGGAGGTCACGGGACAGACCCAGCAGGTGCCATGGCTGACTGAGATGACCGGTAGATGCACCACCAGCTGCCCCCTACTGTGCCAGGCTAGGTGCAGGTCACGGGACAGACCCTGCAGGTGCCATGGGCTGAGATGACCGGTAGATGCACCACCAGCTGTACCCTACTGTGCCAGGCTAGGTGCAGGAGGTCACGGGACAGACCCAGCAGGTGCCATGGGCTGAGATGACCGGTAGATGCACCACCAGCTGTCCCCTATTGTGCCAGGCTAGGTGCAGGAGGTCACGGGACAGACCCAGCAGGTGCCATGGCTGACTGAGATGACCGGTAGATGCACCACCAGCTGCCCCCTACTGTGCCAGGCTAGGTGCAGGAGGTCACGGGACAGACCCAGCAGGTGCCATGGGCTGACTGAGATGACCGGTAGATGCACCACCAGCTGCCCCCTACTGTGCCAGGCTAGGTGCAGGAGGTCACGGGACAGACCCAGCAGGTGCCATGGCTGACTGAGATGACCGGTAGATGCACCACCAGCTGTACCCTACTGTGCCAGGCAAGGTGCAGGAGGTCACGGGACAGACCCAGCAGGTGCCATGGGCTGACTGAGATGACCAGTAGAGGCACCACCAGCTGTACCCTACTGTGCCAGGCTAGGTGCAGGTCACGGGACAGACCCAGCAGGTGCCATGGGCTGAGATGACCGATAGATGCACCACCAGCTGTCCCCCCCTACTGTGCCAACTTCGTAACACACACACACACGTGTTCTGACTTTCGCTCCTCCCAGCGAGAACGAAGCGACAAGATGCAGCAGAAGATGAACGCAAACGCAATTGCACGACGAGCCCATCCCACGGGCGTGTGCAGAAAGGGCCGTGGGGGAGCACTGGTCCAGGTTGAAGACTGAAATCACGGTGCTGAGGGGCTTGGGAGGAGCGCGACTCAACACTGTTCAGTCAATCGGATGTGGTCCACTGTGTGGCCACACTCGGTGCACTGCGTACGGTGCGAAAGAAGTTCAACGTACTCTACATACAATTGAAATCACTCCCGTGCTCAATGCGCACAGTTCGGATGCTGTACCAAAATAATTTGCGGCGTTCGCTCTTACGTGACGGGTCGTGTTTCTATTCGCTCGATCGTGTTCACATCAACTTGCGTTCACCGTTCATCGGGGCACGTCCTTGTTTTTAGTCGCAACGTGTCCGTTTGCTTTATTGTTAACACAAAACGTTGGCTTTCGCGACCAATATTATCCATGCGGTTTTTTTTGCGTTAGATCCCCGTGTCGGGTGGTGGCGGGTTTAACGACACATTTATATTTACGCGATATAACCTCTCGTACACCGCACAGTATTGTGATTTGTTCTTTAGGCATATTTTTTTTCTTATACCCCCCCAAAGCGTTCTGTTCCGATGGTGCCTCGGTACGGATCACTTTGATCTTATTCTGTTGCACAACGGATCTCCCTTGCAAAGTAGCTGGGTAACTGGCTAAATACAACTTTATGTACAACAAACATGGAAATCAAACATTTAACTGAACGAATAACAATCTTGATTTGAAGCTTTCGTGACTGGAGGAATCCACACTCTTTGGGTCTCTCGGTAAAGTCACGTTGATAGAAAAATAAAAACAAATCACGACGTTTCGATCGCAACACAAGCGGTCGTCATCAGGCAACAAGTAACGGCGTTACTTTACCGAAAGAACCAAAGAGTATGAATGAATGACACATCAACATCGGGTTCACAACCGGATAAATCGATTAAAGGTTTGCCCCCCCGCCCCCAACGCCTTTTCCTGGCCAGGCCGCTATCCGAGCTGCATTGTCTCATCGCGGACTCTCGACTTACTTTTTAAAGTCGCTTGGCACAGGCGCGCTAACTTTGTTATCACAATTACATTCTTCCGAGGACAAACGCGTGCAGGGAAGCGTTACAGAATCCATGCGTATGCACGCATTTTTTTTGGGGGGGGGGGGGGGTATTATCGTTTCTCCCAAAGCAACAGAAATGCATCGTATGGTTTACCTGTTACACAACTGCTTTCCTAGCAAATGTACAATAGAGCTATTTATCTTTTAGAACTTACGCTCTTTTTAAGTACGTGCTCGAGAATACAATTTTCAACTGGATTGTTGTCCGATGCCCTTCTCGTACTCGTTCCATATGCGCAGATCATCAGCAGTGTGCATCACCGAATGCCTCTTTAAAGATGAACTTTGTGAAAACCCCTTCCCGCAGTCCTTACACACGTGCGGCTTCTCACCGGTGTGTGTTCTATAATGTCTCTTTAGTGAGAACTGCTGTGAAAACCTCCTTTCACAAACCTTGCACACGTGTGGCTTCTCGCCAGTGTGTGTTCTCGAATGGGACTTCAGATAGACACGGTGTGTGAACACCCTCCCACAAACTCGACATTCGTGGGGATTCCCACCGGTGTGTATTACGGAGTGGATTTTTAAATTGTAAAGTTCTCTGAACTCCTTTCCGCAGTCCTTACACTTGTACGGCTTCTCGCCAGTGTGTATTCTAGAGTGTCTCCTTAATGAACAATGCTGGGAAAATCCCTTCCCACATACCTTGCATATGAGTGGCTTCTCACCAGTGTGTGTTCTGTAATGCACCTTTAAATAGGAAAGGTGTGAAAAGCCTTTCCCACAAATATTACACAAATGTGGGTAGCCTACAGCATCCCATCTCTCCTGCTTGGCGTTGAAACACGATGTGGCGTCTTCAAAATTCTTCCCGCACCGTGTGCAGGCTTGTAAGATGTGGCTGGAGAAGGTTGGCTTATCGTCCGCCGTTATGCTGAAATCTCTCCCGCAATCCTTCTCACACTCCTCACACACGAGTCCCACTTCTTTCACGTCATCTGCCACACATTTTCAAAACACAGTGTTAGTTGAAGGTACAATAAGACAACGAGTTGTCATTTATTTAATTTTACCAGGTAAGGCCCACTGAGCTTCATAGCTTTTTTTCAGAAGCGACCTGGCCACAAATTACATCTCAACGAAGTGGCTTGTCATGTGGAAATTTATAGCAGCCAAATACTGGAAACGCGTGTTTCTAAATGTGGAGCGGAAAACCAGAGGACCCGAAGAAAATTCCACGTCACCACAGAGGGAGAGAGAGACATACAAACTACAGGCGTCAGGGTCGGGATAAAACCCACCAGGAGAGGCAGTAAACATCTCGCCACGGTGGCGAGATGGTTGCTGCATTGCCTTTGCAAGAGAACATTGAGGAACACGTGGATAAGAGAAGATATGCAGATTCGATGCATACTTTTAAATTGTAGGGAACAACACGGGGAATTGATAAAACGTACAACACGTTGTAAACACAGGAAGTCGGATGTCTAACATCCGGAGAGAAAGGCACTGTAGCAAGAGCCGACGTGTGGTAGCTCATTACTAGGGGCGGGGAGAGCGATAAAATAGGGAGCATCACCGACGGTGGGGGCGCTTTGTCGGGGACTCGTCGACGACAAGAGGTGGACGACATCGGGGCTGACTGTTCGAGATCAACTAAGTGTAAACCATCAGGGCTGACTGTTCTAGATCAACTAAGTGTAAACCATCAGGGCTGACTGTTCTAGATCAACTAAGTGTAAACCATCAGGGCTGACTGTTCTAGATCAACTAAGTGTAAACCATCAGGGCTGACTGTTCTAGATCAACTTAGTGTAAACCATCAGGGCTGACTGTTCGAGATCAACTAAGTGTAAACCATCGGGGCTGACTGTTCTAGATCAACTAAGTGTAAACCATCAGGGCTGACTGTTCTAGATCAACTAAGTGTAAACCATCAGGGCTGACTGTTCTAGATCAACTAAGTGTAAACCATCAGGGCTGACTGTTCGAGATCAACTAAGTGTAAACCATCAGGGTTGACTCTTCGAGATCAACTAAGTGTAAACCATCAGGGCTGACTGTTTTAGATCAACTAGGTGTAAACCATCAGGGTTGACTGTTCGAGATCAACTTAGTGTAAACCATCAGGGTTGACTGTTCGAGATCAACTTAGTGTAAACCATCAGGGCTGACTGTTCGAGATCAACTAAGTGTAAACCATCAGGGTTGACTGTTCGAGATCAACTAAGTGTAAACCATCGGGGCTGACTGTTCGAGATCAACTAAGTGTAAACCATCAGGGTTGACTCTTCGAGATCAACTAAGTGTAAACCATCAGGGCTGACTGTTTTAGATCAACTAGGTGTAAACCATCAGGGTTGACTGTTCGAGATCAACTTAGTGTAAACCATCAGGGTTGACTGTTCTAGATCAACTTAGTGTAAACCATCAGGGTTGACTGTTCTAGATCAACTAAGTGTAAACCATCAGGGTTGACTGTTCGAGATCAACTAAGTGTAAACCATCGGGGCTGACTGTTCGAGATCAACTAAGTGTAAACCATCAGGGTTGACTCTTCGAGATCAACTAAGTGTAAACCATCAGGGCTGACTGTTTTAGATCAACTAGGTGTAAACCATCAGGGTTGACTGTTCGAGATCAACTTAGTGTAAACCATCAGGGTTGACTCTTCGAGATCAACTAAGTGTAAACCATCAGGGCTGACTGTTCTAGATCAACTTAGTGTAAACCATCAGGGTTGACTGTTCGAGATCAACTTAGTGTAAACCATCAGGGTTGACTGTTCTAGATCAACTTAGTGTAAACCATCAGGGTTGACTGTTCTAGATCAACTAGGTGTAAACCATCAGGGTTGACTGTTCGAGATCAACTTAGTGTAAACCATCAGGGTTGACTGTTCTAGATCAACTTAGTGTAAACCATCAGGGTTGACTGTTTTAGATCAACTAAGTGTAAACCATCAGGGTTGACTGTTCGAGATCAACTAAGTGTAAACCATCAGGGTTGACTGTTCGAGATCAACTAAGTGTAAACCATCGGGGTTCACTGTTCGAGATCAACTAAGTGTAAACCATCAGGGTTGACTGTTCTAGATCAACTACGTGTAAACCATCAGGGTTGACTCTTCGAGATCAACTTAGTGTAAACCATCAGGGCTGACTGTTCTAGATCAACTAAGTGTAAACCATCAGGGCTGACTGTTCTAGATCAACTAGGTGTAAACCATCAGGGTTGACTGTTCGAGATCAACTAAGTGTAAACCATCAGGGCTGACTGTTCTAGATCAACTTAGTGTAAACCATCAGGGTTGACTGTTCTAGATCAACTAAGTGTAAACCATCAGGGTTGACTGTTCGAGATCAACTTAGTGTAAACCATCAGGGTTGACTGTTCTAGATCAACTTAGTGTAAACCATCGGGGTTGACTGTTCTAGATCAACTAAGTGTAAACCATCGGGGCTAAAGATAGCCGTAGTAATCACGAGTGTGACGGTTGTTACACATTTCCAGAAGGGACGGTAGCTGATGGTCAAGAGTAATGACGGAGTGGCAGCCAAACGATGGAACACATCCACTCAGGCGATGGAGCGATGAAGTCGGCTCATATACTGGTACTAGGTGGATTATCCCAGCGCAGGATCGTGAGAGATGGTTTTGGTTGGGAGATTGACTGTGACTGATGATGATTAATGCGTTTCATGACTCCCACACTTTATAATACATTGCTGCAGTTAATTTAGTAATTAACTGCAGCAATGTATAAATGCCCTGATAGTGGCATTGTCTTTGTGCTGTTCACCTTTTGGCGTTCTCTGGTCTGACACTGGTGAGACTAGGCCCTAAAGAAGGCTGTCTCTGGTGTAGACCAATCAGCTTCAAAGACGATGTCATATATTATCAGAGCATGCAGACAGGATACCTGGAAAAAGGATTCTGTTTGGTGTTTTAACATCTTAACACCTCCTGTTGTATTGCCAGAAAGGGTCAAACTTATTGTTATATTTTGATCCTGGCAAGAAAGGTCCCATATCGTAACGACGTAGGCTGTTTGAGCGAAAGACCTGCCATCGGACTAAACATTTTACAAATGATGCCTGATGGATATTAGGGAAGTGATATTGTTGTGGAAGAGAACCATTACTTCTTCAAGATCAAGATGTCATCATGGATGCATGTGGAACTTCTTTCGCACCATACGTAGCCACAACACAAAAAGCAGTGAATGGCAAAAGTTGTTGATGCTACGACAGATCGCCAAAGCTGTCTACACTCCGCCAGATCCCACAGCTTCTCCAGTCAACACGCAACCTCTAATATCTTCTCTGACTCTATCCCACCATCTGACCATTGGTCGCCAGTCTCATGGAGACCTATCCAATGCCTATCTCTGTAATCGGCCCTCACCCATCCTGCACACACGTGTCCAACTCGGCACAGCTGTTTTTGCCTGCTGCTATCCACAAGACCCACCTGCCACGTTCCCTGCCAGACTTATGCATTGCTTCTCCTGTCTTTGACACCTGTACTCAAATGCAAACAACTTATTTTTGAGTTGATCAGTTACTCCTTCAATTTCGTTTCAACAGAACTGTACCGCTAGTCTCAACACAGCCGTCAAGGACTCAGCACATCCTTCCACCTCAACAAACATCCTTAATATTCGTTGTACCGCTTTTTGAGTTATTATTGGTGACAAAACAAAAAAACTTTATTTTTCTGTCAAGATAAAAGGACTCACCGTGACCAATGTCATCCTCCGACAACTCCACCTCAATGAAGTTCTGGTCTGTAGTGGCCAATGCATCATGGGAATCCCTCGTTCCCTCTGGTCTCCCTTTAGATCCTTCAAATAAAAAAATATATTCAGATTTGGAGTTAAAAGTACTCTTTGATGTGAGGTCAAATGCTGAGACAAATACATGACATTCTTGGTTCTTTCGGTAAAGTCACGTAGAAGGGAAACAATAAAATAATAAAAAAGTAAAATACAATTCTCACGACGTTTCGACTGCAACACAAGCAATCATCATCAGGTGTGAAAACCACAGCAAGAAAAAAATATTGCTGTGGTTTTCACACCTGATGACGATTGCTTGTGTTGCAGTCGAAACGTCGTGAGAATTTTATTGTTTTATATTTTTATTATTTTATTGTTTCCCTTCTACGTGACTTTACCGAAAGAACCAAGAATATGAATCCCTGCAGTCACGAAAGCTTTAATACAAAATACATGACATGGCAAGTCACACAGGCCAGACAGGGATATTTCTCCCAGCAAGTTTCCTCGGTTTGGTTCATTTAGTTTTCGGCTTCAAATTCCAAGAATCGGCCGAAATTGATTTACCGCAGTAAAATTTTAACGGATGTGCCGCTTGTTATTGATGTTTTTTGTCATGAAAAATTATCGCGAGGCTATTCGATTATTTACTCTGCCACTTATTGGTTTACTTGACTAATGGGGTGACACGAAAATTAGTTGAAAACAAAAATGTTTGACTTTCTCGTCCCCATCCATGTGTGCCACTGGATGGGAGGCGATAGAGATGGCGCTTGGTGATGCCATCTGTATCATCACGCTGGGCCTGGCTTCTCGGGGGGGCTTCCCGCCAACGTTTTGCCGGTAATTACAACCAGCGTCATCAGGGGACAGCCAGAGTTCTGAATTGTAAATGTTGTGGCTTTACTCTGCCAACACACAAGCGGTGTGCTGAACAAGTAACCAATTGGCATGTTTTGTTTATGTGACAAACCTTACTAATTGGCTGTGTCGTGTGGTGGCGGGTTTAATGACACATTTATATTTACGTGATCTAACCGAAAAAAAACCTCTCATGGATAACATTGGTTCAACTGACTCACCTCCACGAAATATTACCTATCCTGTACTGTTTACATTATGAGACCTCCTTTGCCAGTAGCAAGATATAGTAATAGGTTTTTACCCTTTTATCTGGCACCAAAACTGACACCTTTATACAAGGGATCATGTTTGCAATAACCACAACACAAGCAGTCAAAATGCAAACAAAAAGAGACAACTCTGATAATATGCACTGTCCTTGAACTTGATTGGTCCACACCCGAGACGGCTTTTCTTAGAGCCTAGTCTCCAGTGGTGTTGGACCAGTGACGCTAAAAGGCGTACAACTCAAAAACAGCGCACTATCAGAGTATTGAGAGCTCAGGGTAAACATTTACATTATGAGACCTCCTTTGCCAGTAGCAAGATATAGTAATAGGTTTTTACACTATCAAGGACAGTGCATATTATCAGTTGTCTCTTTTTGTTTGCATTTTGACTGCTTGTGTTGTGGTTATTGCAAACATGATCCATTGTATAAAGGTGTCAGTTTTGGTGCCAGATAAAAGGGTAAAAACCTATTGCTATCCTGTACCGGTTTGATCTCATTTTAAATGCCAGCCTGTTGCTCGCTTTCATTGATAATAAAAGACTCACCTTGACCAATGTCCTGCTCTGACAACTTCACCTTGAATTGATTCTCGTCCGCAGTGGCCTTACATCCTTGGTAATCCCCCGTCTCTTCTGACCTCTCAGTGCCTTCTTCAACTTTGACAATAATCAGACCTGAAATTTATAAAACATACCACGTGTCTGGTGTTTTTTTTTTCAGATGGAGGTTAAAATTCCATACGATAATAAGGCACCTTTGAAGCTTGGTCTTTTGAGTCCAACGATTGGAGGAAGCTATACGCTTACAGCAGCAGATGTAAACCGCTGACCTACCTAGGAAACAATGTTGTGTTGGTAACCAAACAAAAATGGCACCAATTTGCTTTTGGATTTCAGGTTGTTTCATGCTTTTTGTGTCAAGTGCTTATAGGCGTGGTTGTATAAATGCCCTTTCCTTGAGTTAAAAGCGCAATTAGATATTCTGGGAAGCACAACTTGACGTTATTAGCAATGTATGTACATTGAACTTATTTCGCACCGTACGTAGGCCAACCGTGATAATTGGCTGCTGTATTTACAGAGCCCCGAATGAGGTAATGCTATTGGCAAAACCCCATCGAGGAAAAAATCAACAGTGGTGGCATCTTGTTTTGCCACTCGACTAAGAAAACATCATTTTTGGAGCTCTTTCTCAGCTGAGCCTCACTCACGGTGGCTCACACAAATGTTTTGGAACGCCTTTTCCCATAAGCGTCGAGGCACTACACCCTTGGCTTGCCAGAAAGCAGGTAAAGTGCAAACTAGTATCAATCTGTCCCTTCTGTACGGGAACGTGTCGCACCCCTGGCACACAAAGGTTTTCTTTTGGGCGCTGCAGTTTTCCTCCCACATGTATACATGCTCATTAAGTGGCTGAAAACATCTTAACATGCTGTCGTCCCTTGGTTAGCAGTGACATCGGTTAACGGTTTTTCAATTGACGTTTCGCCTCCCATAGGACCCCATGGTTTCGACTAACGTTCAAATTTCTATGAGCGGTATGTTAACGTAATGCACGCGGGGCGCCAATTTCAGCCAATCCGAGCGCTTGTCAGTGGGGCTGAGCCATGCCCTCAGCAAATCCGCGTCGCCCATTTGAGCGTTTAGACCTCGACTGGCTTTGTTTACATTGTTGTTTTCCAAAAAAAGTTTTCTCCTACCTCAACCTCATGAAGCCAGCCATCTTCTCAGGTTTATTTTTAATATTGAGTGTTTAAATGTTATAAACTTGTTTTTAAGGTGCAAAAGGTCAACTTACGATCGTCTTGGAATGGATTTGTGCTTTTCACATGTAATTCCTATATTCGATTAACCGTTATTTTGGTTTACAGTAGTGTTCGTGGAAAGGATTCAAAATGTTAACCGAGGGACTCCTGTATAGAGGACTGCAGAGCTTGGGCAACAGCTAGTAGCACAAGTTCACCGCCTGGCTGCCGAACGCAGCTTTGTGGTTTCCTCGGCGATTGTGAGATGCAATTTGCGCTATTTAAAACTAAACATGAGTACTGTGTTGGGTGCACAACTCTACGCAACTATTTCAACTGTAGTCTGCTAAACTGGCTCTCTTAACCGACACGAGGCAGCACTCCTTTGCACTGCATTCATTCAGTGTGCCAATTTACGCTGGAACAGTGACTCGAACTTGATTATTGGCGATGCTTAGAGTGATCAAAATAATAATGACCGTCCTGGAGTTCGATTTAAAGCTTTCGTGACTGCAAGGATTCATCTTCTTTGGTTCTTTCGGTAAAGTCACGTAGAATGAGAATAAAATAATAAATTGATAAAATAAAATAACACAATAATATTCTCACGACGTTTCGATGAAGGCCGCTTGTGTTGTGGCCGAAACGTCATGAGAATATTATACGTAGCATAGTACGTCCTATTATTTTCTTGCGTACGCAATAAACGCTGAGGAGCGAAATGCCAACGTCGAGGTTTGCCAGCCGCGAAAGGACTTCAGGAGAGATTTCACGTGGTTTTGCTATTCCTCCTAGGCCTCGGCAAGGTAAAGTAATTTACCATTTTTACCGGGTAAATGGTAAAGGTGTCGACATGCCAAGGGGTAAGGTAAAGGCTAAGGTAAAGGGTAGGGTAAAGGTAGCGCGAAGTATTACCCGGTAAACACCTTGTTTACCGTAAACACCTTGTGTACCATAAACACCTTGTTTACCGTAAACACCTTGTTTACCGTACACACCTTGTTTACCATAAACACCTTTTTGATTTAAAGCTTTCGTGACTGCAGTAATTCATATTCTTAGTTTTTTCGGTAAAGTCACGTTGAAGAGAAACAACAAAATAACAAAATATATATAAAACAATAAAAATTATCACGTTTCGACCATAACTCAAACGGTCATCATCAGGTGTGTCGGTTTGCATAAATTTATTTTGAAAACGGCATATTTATTTATTTTTATATATATAAAAAAATAACGTTTGCGTCACGCGCAACGATTGGCAGTTTGCCCAGGACTAGTCCATCTATTTTTTGAAAAGAGGAGGGGGGAGACGAAATTTGTTTTTATGTATGCTGTCTGAAAGCCACTGTAAGCGTGAACAATCAATCAAGAACTGAAATGATTTATCAAATCTTTCCAATGATTGCTAAGATAGAATCCATCTTCTCGGTTGAAATTGTCTCTGTGCTTGTATATGTGGATAGCCTCATGAACGAATCTCTCATGGAAGCCAGATGGCTTACAAAGAACCTCCGTCTTGGAAAAGTCAATGGCATGTGAGCCTATTGAATTAGAACAATGATCTGCTACGGCCGAGGTGTTGGTCCTACCGTGTTTAAGGTCTGCTTTATGTTCACGAATGCGGTCCGAGATATGGCGTTTGGTTTCTCCAATGTAACTACTACCACAGAGGCAACTTAGTTTGTAGACACCAGGGTATTGTATGTCCGGAATCACATCTTTTACAGACGGAACCAGATCACGGATTTTATGTAATGTGTTGAAACGGACCTGGATCTTGTGTTTATTCAAGATTTTGGAGATCTTTTTTGTGATCCCAGCAATGTAGGGTAAAGTGATGGTTTTGAAAGGCTCCTCAAGAGGGTTCTTCTTCATGGTTTGAGTGATAGCTTTGCGGATTGTATAGTCGGAGTAACCATTAGCCCTAAGAGCTTGGTGTACGTGCTTGAGTTCACTGCTTATGTGTTCCTGGTCGGATATGCATTGGGCTCTATGATACTATCAGCTCCCCCACCTACAAACTAGCTCGTTTTTTGTCTGAAATCCTGCGTCCTTTCACTGGAAAGACCACCTCTGCGGTACAAAATTCTACTCACCTGGTATCAACAATCAAGGGTATTTCCCTGTCCCCAGACGACCTGCTTGTCAGTTTTGATGTAGTTTCCTTATTCACCAAGGTTCCTGTAGCTGACACCATTGCAATCATTGAAGACTTGGTTCATCAAGGACTAAACACTGAGGTACCCCCCCTGGTGAGACACTGTTTAACCAATACATACTTCACTTGGAATGGAACTTTCTACAAACAAACTGAGGGCACCCCAATGGGCTCCCCCCTTTCTCCAGTTATAGCTAACATTTTCATGGAGAAATTTGAGACTGACGCCATCCAGACTGCCACTCTGCGCCCAACCTTATGGAAGAGGTACGTGGATGACACTTTTGTCATCTGGCCACATGGCCGGCCTGCTCTAGACCAATTCTTCGACCACATCAATTCCATACACCCAGCCATCAGATTTACCATGGAAGTCGAAATAGATGGCAAGATACCTTTTTTGGATGTCCTAATTAAAAAGAGACCTGATGGTTCAATGAGCCACTCTGTCTACAGGAAAGCTACCCATACGGATGCTTATCTGAAACCGGATTCCCACCACCATCCATCACAGAAGAATTCTCTCATCAAGACTCTGTATCATAGAGCCCAATGCATATCCGACCAGGAACACATAAGCAGTGAACTCAAGCACGTACACCAAGCTCTTAGGGCTAATGGTTACTCCGACTATACAATCCGCAAAGCTATCACTCAAACCATGAAGAAGAACCCTCTTGAGGAGCCTTTCAAAACCATCACTTTACCCTACATTGCTGGGATCACAAAAAAGATCTCCAAAATCTTGAATAAACACAAGATCCAGGTCCGTTTCAACACATTACATAAAATCCGTGATCTGGTTCCGTCTGTAAAAGATGTGATTCCGGACATACAATACCCTGGTGTCTACAAACTAAGTTGCCTCTGTGGTAGTAGTTACATTGGAGAAACCAAACGCCATATCTCGGACCGCATTCGTAAACATAAAGCAGACCTTAAACACGGTAGGACCAACACCTCGGCCGTAGCAGATCATTGTTCTAATTCAGTAGGCTCACATGCCATTGACTTTTCCAAGACGGAGGTTCTTTGTAAGCCATCTGGCTTCCATGAGAGATTCGTTCATGAGGCTATCCACATATACAAGCACAGAGACAATTTCAACCGAGAAGATGGATTCTATCTTAGCAATCATTGGAAAGATTTGATAAATCATTTCAGTTCTTGATTGATTGTTCACGCTTACAGTGGCTTTCAGACAGCATACATAAAAACAAATTTCGTCTCCCCCCTCCTCTTTTCAAAAAATAGATGGACTAGTCCTGGGCAAACTGCCAATCGTTGCGCGTGACGCAAACGTTATTTTTTTATAAATAAATAAATATGCCGTTTTCAAAATAAATTTATGCAAACCGACACACCTGATGATGACCGTTTGAGTTATGGTCGAAACGTCGTGAGAATTTTTATTGTTTTATATATATTTTGTTATTTTGTTGTTTCTCTTCAACGTGACTTTACCGAAAAAACTAAGAATATACATAAACACCTTGTTTACCATAAACACCTTGTTTACCATAAACACCTTGTTTACCGTACACACCTTGTTTACCGTACACACCTTGTTTACCATAAACACCTTGTTTACCATAAACACCTTGTTTACCATAAACACCTTGTTTACCGTACACACCTTGTTTACCGTACACACCTTGTTTACCATAAACACCTTGTGTACCATAAACACCTTGTTTACCGTAAACACCTTGTTTACCGTACACACCTTGTTTATCATAAACACCTTGTTTACCATAAACACCTTGTTTACCATAAACACCTTGTTTACCGTACACACCTTGTTTACCATACACACCTTGTTTACCATAAACACCTTGTTTACCATAAACACCTTGTTTACCGTACACACCTTGTTTACCATAAACACCTTGTTTACCGTACACACCTTGTTTACCATAAACACCTTGTTTACCATAAACACCTTGTGTACCATAAACACCTTGTGTACCATAAACACCTTGTTTACCATAAACACCTTGTGTACCATAAACACCTTGTTTACCATAAACACCTTGTTTACCGTACACACCTTGTTTACCATAAACACCTTGTTTACCATAAACACTTTGTTTACCGTACACACCTTGTTTACCATAAACACCTTGTTTACCGTACACGCCTTGTTTACCATAAACACCTTGTTTACCATACACGCCTTGTTTACCATAAACACCTTGTGTACCATAAACACCTTGTGTACCATAAACACCTTGTGTACCATAAACACCTTGTTTACCATAAACACCTTGTTTACCGTACACACCTTGTTTACCGTACACACCTTGTTTACCATAAACACCTTGTTTACCATGAACACCTTGTTTACCATAAACACCTGTTTACCATAAACACCTTGTTTACCATAAACACCTTGTTTACCATTAACACCTTGTTTACCATAAACACCTTGTTTACCATAAACACCTTGTTTACTGTAAACACCTGTTTACCGTAAATACCTTGTTTACCGTAAACACCTTGTTTACCGTAAACACCTTGTTTACCATAAACACCTTGTGTACCATAAACACCTTGTTTACCATAAACACCTTGTTTACCATAAACACCTTGTTTACCGTACACACCTTGTTTACCATAAACACCTTGTTTACCGTACACACCTTGTTTACCGTAAACACCTTGTTTACCATAAACACCTTGTTTACCGTACACACCTTGTTTACCATAAACACCTTGTTTACCATAAACACCTTGTTTACAGTAAACACCTTGTTTACCATAAACACCTTGTTTACCATAAACACCTTGTTTACCGTAAACACCTTGTGTACCGTAAACACCTTGTTTACCGTACACACCTTGTTTACCATAAACACCTTGTTTACCATAAACACCTTGTTTACCGTACACACCTTGTTTACCATAAACACCTTGTTTACCGTAAACACCTTGTTTACCGTAAACACCTTGTTTACCGTACACACCTTGTTTACCATAAACACCTTGTTTACCGTAAACACCTTGTCTACCATAAACACCTTGTTTACCATAAACACCTTGTTTACCGTAAACACCTTGTTTACCGTAAACACCTTGTTTACCGTAAACACCTTGTTTACCATAAACACCTTGTTTACCGTAAACACCTGTTTACCATAAACACCTTGTTTACCATAAACACCTTGTTTACCATAAATACCTTGTTTACCATAAACGCCTTGTTTACCGTACACACCTTGTGTACCATAAACACCTTGTTTACCGTAAACACCTTGTTTACCGTAAACACCTTGTTTACCGTACACACTTTGTTTACCATAAACACCTTGTTTACCATAAACACCTTGTTTACCGTAAACACCTTGTTTACCATAAACACCTTGTTTACCGTACACACTTTGTTTACCATAAACACCTTGTTTACCATAAACACCTTGTTTACCGTAAACACTTTGTTTACCATAAACACCTTGTTTACCATAAACACCTTGTGTACCATAAACACCTTGTTTACCTTAAACACCTGTTTACCATACACACCTTGTTTACCATAAACACCTTGTTTACCGTAAACACCTTGTTTACCGTAAACACCTTGTTTACCGTACACACCTTGTTTACCATAAACACCTTGTTTACCATAAACACCTGTTTACCATACACACCTTGTTTACCGTAAACACCTTGTTTACCATAAACACCTTGTGTACCGTAAACACCTAGTTTACCATAAACACCTTGTTTACCGTAAACACCTTGTTTACCGTAAACACCTTGTTTACCGTAAACACCTTGTTTACCCTAAACACCTTGTTTACCGTAAACACCTTGTTTACCATAAACACCTTGTTTACCATAAACACCTTGTTTACCCTAAACACCTTGTTTACCGTAAACACCTTGTTTACCGTAAACACCTTGTTTACCGTAAACACCTTGTTTACCATAAACACCTTGTTTACCGTACACACCTTGTTTACCGTAAACACCTTGTTTACCATAAACACCTTGTTTACCATAAACACCTTGTTTACCATAAACACCTTGTTTACCGTACACACCTTGTTTACCATAAACACCTTGTTTACCATAAACACCTTGTTTACCATACACACCTTGTTTACCATAAACACCTTGTTTACCATAAACACCTTGTTTACCATAAACACCTTGTGTACCATAAACACCTTGTTTACCGTACACACCTTGTTTACCGTAAACACCTTGTGTACCATAAACACCTTGTTAACCATAAACACCTTGTGTACCGTAAACACCTTGTGTACCATAAACACCTTGTTTACCATAAACACCTTGTTTACCATAAACACCTTGTGTACCGCTCGCTAAAAGCTCTGTGGCGCAGTCCGTGGCCTCCATTTAAAATTGGAATCATCGAGAGTATTCTATATGAATAAAGCGCTCTGCCTAGCATTGACCTGTCATAAACCTTACTCTTTGGTCTTTTCGGTAAAGTCACGTAGAAATAATAAAAATAAAATTATATAATAGCATACGACGTTTCGATTGCAACACAAGCAATCATCATCAGGTACAGAAGAGCTCAATTTAAGAGAGAGAGGAAACACATAACCGCAGATATATATACAAACCTTAAGTAGAGGGAATTAACACAGACACACCAGGGGACACAGAGAGAGACGGAGCAACACTAAATCAAACAGGGTTTAGCAAAATGTGGAAACTATATAAAGCAACACAGATGGTCGGTTAAAACACAATTAACGCATGGTTCGGTATATTACGCTATTTCTACGTGATTTTACCGAAAAAAACAAAGAGTAATTCCTGCAGTCACGAAAGCAACCAATCATGTTATAAACCTTGTTCATGTGTAGTAGTACCCCAGTAATTACCCTGTAATCGGGTAATTTGTATGGGATAAGGGTAAAAGGTAGGGTAAAGGTAGGCTCGTTGCTTTTGACCTTTTACCTTGCCGAGGCCTAATTCCTCCTCCGTTGTTTAGGTTGCACGGTCACAGTTGCACAACTCGTGGCTCGTGTCCTTAATTTTTTATTTCTAAAGGAGATGTGTACATCGGCCTGTCGATGTTCTGATGCGGTTGATGGTTAGCGCCCGTGTCTTCGAAGAGGTGGGATTGCCGAAGCCACGAGGTTCGATGTGTGGGTCTCGAATGAGGTGCTTGTACTTAACGTCCACATTGTTACCGCCGTTTGCAAGCGTCCTTCTGGATCTGGGTGAGATTCTAGGATGGTGGCAGCGCGTGTAAAAACATTTCTGAAAATTATATTTTTTCTTTCTTACAAATCCATACCTGCAGTAACATCTTCAAACTTCGCCACATCACGAGGCATTCCAGGGCTTGAATATTCTTCAATTTCTTGTTTGATGAACGGCAACTTCATGTGTGAAGCCATCTGGGCAACACACACACACGGATGTTCATTCAGACACGGTCCAGAGATGAAGAAAACTAAACTATAAACGAAACTATTGTTTTTATTGTACCAGGTAAGACCCACTGAGCTATAGAGATATTTTTCAGAAGCGACCTGGCCACAAATGATAGCCCAACGAAGTGGCTTATCGTGTGGAAATGCAAGCAGCCAAATATTTACTGGAACCTAAATTCATGTTGAGGGGAATCACCCCGGGAGAATCGGGTCAAAAAAATCCACGCGACCACCACAGGGAGAGAGAGACACGCAAACTCCGAAAACACAGCAGACGTCAGGGTCGGGATCGATACCCACGACCTCCTGTACACCACGCGAGGTAGTTAACATCTCATATCCACCGTGATGATGATGAGAGACAGACCTCCTGTACACCAGGCGAGGTAGTTAACATCTCATATCCACCGTGATGATGATGAGAGACAGACCTCCTGTACACCAGGCGAGGTAGTTAACATCTCATATCCACCGTGATGATGATGAGATAGACCTCCTGTACACCAGGCGAGGTAGTTAACATCTCATAGCCATCGTGATGATGATGAGAGAGACACAGACCTCCTGTACACCACGCGAGGTAGTTAACATCTCATAGCCACCGTGATGATGATGAGAGACAGACCTCCTGTATACCAGGCGAGGTAGTTAACATCTCATAGCCACCGTGATGATGAGACACAGACCTCCTGTACACCAGGCGAGTTAACATCTCATAGCCATCGTGATGATGATGAGAGAGACACAGACCTCCTGTAGACCAGGCGAGGTAGTTAACATCTCATAGCCACCGTGATGATGATAAGACAGACCTCCTGCACACCAGGCGAGGTAGTTAACATTTCATAGCCACCGTGATGATGATGATGAGAGAGACACAGACCTCCTGTACACCAGGCGAGATAGTTAACATCTCATAGCCACCGTGATGACACAGACCTCCTGCACACCAGGCGAGATAGTTAACATCTCATAGCCACCGTGACGATGATAGAGACAGACCTCCTGTAACCAGGCGAGGTAGTTAACATCTCATAGCCACCGTGATGAGACACAGACCTCCTGTACACCAGGCAAGGTAGTTAACATCTCATAGCCATCGTGATGATGATGAGAGAGACACAGACCTCCTGTACACCAGGCGAGGTAGTTAACATTTCATAGCCACCGTGATGAGACACAGACCTCCTGTATACCAGGCGAGGTAGTTAACATCTCATAGCCACCGTGATGATGAGACACATACCTCCTGTACACCAGGCGAGGTAGTTAACATCTCATAGCCATCGTGATGATGATGAGAGACACAGACCTCCTGCACATCTGGCGAGGTAGTTAACATCTCATAGCCACCGTGATGATGAGACACAGACCTCCTGTACACCAGGCGAGGTAGTTAACATCTCATAGCCACCGTGATGATGACACAGACCTCCTGTACATCAGGCGAGGTAGTTAACATCTCATAGCCACCGTGATGAGAGACACAGACCTCCTGTCGACCAGGCGAGGTAGTTAACATCTCATAGCCACCGTGATGATGATAGAGACACAGATGTCCTGTACACCGGGCGAGATAGTTAACATCTCATAGCCACCGTGATGATGAGACACAGACCTCCTGCACACCAGGCGAGATAGTTAACATCTCATAGCCACCGTGATGATGATAGAGACAGACCTCCTGTACACCAGGCGAGGTAGTTAACATATCATAGCCACCGTGATGATGAGACAGACCTCCTGTACATCAGGCGAGGTAGTTAACATCTCATAGCCATCGTGATGATGATGATGAGAGAGACACAGACCTCCTGTACACCAGGCGAGATAGTTAACATCTCATAGCCACCGTGATGATGATAGAGACAGACCTCCTGTACACCAGGCGAGGTAGTTAACATCTCATAGCCACCGTGATGATGATGAGACAGACCTCATGCACACCAGGCGAGGTTCGTGCTGTGTGTCACCAGAGAAGAGGCAATAAAAGACGCCGCTTAATCTCCTTGGCGTTGACGTTCCTCCAAACACACAAATTGGTGAATGTCACGGGTTCGTGAGAGAACTGGGGGAGTCGAATCGTCATCCAGCAGTGGACTGACCATGGCTTATGATGATGTAACACACACACACACAGGCAAAGAGCGCCCCCCCCCCACCTCACCGTGGTGTTTGCGAGCACCTATTACTACTCACGCAGACGGCAGCATGGGGAGGGGCAGCCAATGTGAGCAATGGCTTGTGGCCTGTGGCCTCTATCACACTCCAGCGGCTCACGGCTGTCCACTTGTCCCAGTGTCACTCCCTCCCCGCGTGTCTCACTGCGTCCCTCTCGAATATCCCCGTCGTGTCTCTCCGCTTGTCTCACTGCGTCCGAGTCAGCCCTTGTCCACCCCCCCCCCCCCACCCCGTGTCTCCACGCGTGTCTCCCCCCACGTGTCTCCCTATGTCCGAGTCCCCGTGTCTCTCAGTGTCCGAGTACTTGTCCCTCCCGTGTCACCCCCCGTGTCTGAGTCCCCGAGTCCCCGTGTCTCCCCCCGTGTCTCCCCCCGTGTCTCCCCTGTATCCGAGTCCCCGTGTCTCTCCGTGTCCGAGTACTTGTCCCTCCCGTGTCTCCCCCCGTGTCCGAGTCCCCGTGTCTGATCTCGTGTCTCCCCCCCCCCCCCGCGTGTCTCCCCCCCCCCGCCCCCCCGCGTGTCTCCCCCCCCCCCCCCCCCGCGTGTCTCCCCCCGTGTCTCCCCCCGTGTCTCCCCCCGTGTCTCCCCGGGTGTCTCCGAGTCCCCGTGTCTCCTCCCGTGTCTCCCCCGTGTCTCCCCGGGTGTCTCCCTCCCCCCGTGTCCGAGTCCCCGTGTCTCTTTGTTCCTCTCCGCTCCGTGTCCGAGTCCCCTCTTCCCCCGACGCCCGTCCCCGCCGAGCGACAAGATGAGACACAAGATGAGCGACAAGATGAGACACAAGACGAGCGACAAGATGAGACACAAGGCGAGCGACAAGATGAAACACAAGACGAGCGACAAGATGAGACACAAGACGAGCGACAAGATGAGTAACAAGACGAAGGTTGCCCACCGCCAGCAGTGGTCGGGGAAGCTACGAGCACGATTCGATTTATGAACGCTGCACTTTCAAACAAGATGCACAAGCCGACCTGTCCACCCCTTATCAGCGCCCTACCTCATTACAGGCCAATTCAGACCTTATTGGTCACCCCGTGCCCTTTATAAATCTCAACGTTCATCCTACAAAGTCCCATCACAAGGGAAAAACACAAAAAAATGCCCGTACTCTTTAGTTCTATTCGGTAAAGTCACGTAGGTAAAAAATAAAAATCACGACGTTTCGGCCACAACACAAGTGGCCTTCATCAGGTGAAGGGACCGTACTGTCCAGAGGACAGCGTTGGAGTGAAGACAGCCAAGCCCAGGTCGCGTCCTTTAAGCTGTGTGGGAGGAAACAAAAAAACGCCTTGACAAAGGAATTAGCATAACATGATGTAGAGGACCGGCACGGGGGGGGGGGGGGGGGAGTTTACAAATGTTGGTGTGAAGGGAAATAAGCTGCTGTGAAAGTTTGGGATACACTGCTTGAATAAATATACTGTACCATTGAAAATTAGTTTAATGTTTGGTATGGTTTAGAACATCTTTCCAATAATTGCTTAATTTGAAGCCATCTCGGTTGAAATTGTGTCTGTGTTTGTTAATCTGAATTGCCTCGTGGATAAATCTCTGATAAAAACCCGTGGGTTTGCAGAGGACCTTGGTATCGGAGAAAATTATATCGTGATCACGATATTGAAACGGCTTGTACGCCAGCATGTACGAGAATACGGAGTAAACTGGTAAACAATAGCGGTCAAACGGGGGGTCGACAGCTGTTGTGGGGGCCGGCGTCCACTCGCCACGCCCGCCTCCTCCACCGTGTCGATCGGCCCCCGCCAGGCCCCAGCCGACCGGGTGATCGCGGCCCCTCCGCGTTAGCGCCCCCTCTGAGGGACATCGCTCAAGCGCTGGCTCACCGCCGCACGGGGTTACTCCCAGCACACCCACAGACACCACCAGCACTCGTGCGAAGGCAGCTGCGCGAACGCGCGCGCCCCCTTGCTGGCGCTTCTATTTTAACACGCGCACGCCCCGCAGTTAACATGACAGCGGCGACACAAACACGCGCGCACATGCGGGCGATTAAGTTAACGAGCGCTCGTGGCTCTGCCCTCGCCGCTCGTCCGCCCACACAGCTGCTCCACACAGACACACACCAATCACACTGCACCGATACTCTGTGCTAACGTTTATTCACGGCGCAAAACCTTGCACTGCCCGGAGGAAATATTCTGCGAGCAGAGCCTATCCTATCACTACCCAATTCCCCCAAACACTTACGTGCCCTGTCACGTACCTCGCAGCCGTTCTCACGGCGTCGCACGGACACGTGGAGAGGCGGAGGGACGGAGATGCGAGAGAACCTCGCCTCACGCTTGCCTCGTGGCGGCACTCGCTGGCGTCTCACGGACGCTGCGAGCGGCTCGAAGAGGCAGGGAGTCGGTCTGAGTCAACGAGCGGCTGGAGGTCAGAGGACCCTTGAACCCTTTCGGGTTCCCCTTTTCATGCCCTGGGATTTCGAAAATCCAGGGTTACATTACGTCATCCTGCGCAGCCAATAATGCGCCTGCATTTTGATTTTCAAACGTTTCACTGCCGTTACCTAGGGCATTATGTTACGCTATCTCCTGGCCAATTGTCTCCGTGTCCGCATTCCTTACCCCTGACTCAGCCGGTTTAATCGGGGAGACCGCTGGCTGCCGAATACACACCCGCGGTGTGCACAGGGATTTCTCTCCCACCTCCTCGTCCGCGCTGCTCGTGAAATATTTCACCCTGGCCCCTCCCCGGTGTTGTGAGCGTCGCATTGCGGTTAGCCCGGTGAGCTTCTGTGCGCCCATACAATTTTAAGCCAATTTAGGGGGGCTGCAATGTAATTTGTCCTGGGGGGGGGGTCGGCCAATCTCCGTGAGACTTCCCCTCTAGGGGCCCTTCGGATGAAAACTCGTGATGCCAGGCGATCCCCTGCCGGGGCACTGCATGTGTGTGTGCGTGTGTGTGGCGTGTGCGTGTGTGTGTGTGTGCGGCGTGTGTGTGAGTGTGCGCGGCGTGTGTGCGTTCAGGGCGGGAGTAGGGGGGGAGTCGCGGCGCTTGCGGAGTGGCTCCGTGGTCGTGGCACCACACTGTGCTACTGCAATGACCGAAAAATGACCCCACAAGCCAATATGCAGCCTAACGTCTATTTGAAAATAAACAAAGGTCTCCGATTGTAAGAAAGAGGCCTCTACGGTGATTGGTCGGGAGGGAGACTATATATTAAAGGAATTTGAGGACTAAGGGTTTGAACGAGAAACTGATTGGCCTTTGGTGGTGGGGGGGCGCTTCGACGTCACGGTGATCCACAAAGTGAGCTTTTCCCCAAGACCTGCACCCCCCCTCCCCCCCCCCCCCCGTATTGACTATAGATGGTCCTTCGCAATGGGCTTTTCTGTTCCATTTCACGTTTTAATAGAATCCACAACAACAAAAGTGAAGGTTGTGCAATATTTCATAACTGGTCAGCTTCAAACACCAGTTGGTTTTGAGAATTGTCAGTGATGCGGTTGCCAACAGAAAGAGTGCACATTCCCATCAGTGTGATGCATAAGGACAGTACGGGACCTAAGTGGTCGTAAATAATAATTGGGGTGGCAGGGATAGACAGGGCCGAATGAGGTGAGAGAAAGGGTTCGGGAAAGGGGGCGTGGCCGAGTCCGAGGGGGGGATAAAAGGCGGCAAGGAGCAGGGCTCTGGGCTGCTGTGGGGATCCGAAGTTGGACCGCCGTCGATGTCGTCATCAGAAGTGGATCGTCCTCACCGTCTGGGAGCGGGTCGACTTGTTGTCTAGAAGACTAAAATAGATTACATATATATCGTCGCTGTAGCTGTTACTTCATCGGCTCCTCTATAGTCAGCCAGCCGTGTAGGTGACACCATGTACAGAAAGGTATCCACTGTACATAGTCAACTCGCGTCCGCCCGCTGGTATGCGATCGAGTCGGGCCAACCGGAATAGGCAATAAATATATACATACCTGGACAAGACCCTCTCTGAGTGTTACATTACACATCTGTACGTAGATTCATGTTCACGAAGATTTAGTACAAGATTCACAGCAAAATGTGAAGGTTGTGCAAGGATTCACAATTGGGCTGCTTCAGATAACATTTAGTTTCAGACGTGCAGGTGATGTGTGTTTGTCAATGTCGAACTTCCAATCAATTCTATGGTGGTTATCAGCAGCGGCCTATGGACAGAGATTACAATGCAACACGTTCACCAAAACGGTGGCATTTAGAGGAAAATATGAGGGTTTTTAGGTGTGGGCCCCTCTTCATAGCACATGGTGAAAATGTAATAGGTCACCAAGACTCGGGGCGCCACGGTGGCGAGATGTTAACTACCTCCCTGGTATACAGGTCGTTGTATATTTGGAGTTTGGATAGCTTTTCCAGTGGTACCGTGGATTTTTTTCCGGGTCCTCTGGTTTTTCCCCCCACGCTGCTATACATTTTCACGAGGTAAGCCACTTAATTGGGCTTTCATTTGTGGCCAGGTATCTTCTGACAAGAGCTATATAGTATTACCAGGTAAAAAGAAAAAACATAGTTTAGTAATTTACAGATGGTCAGCACCAGGCTATGCAACTGTTAACAGTACTGAAAGTGAGCGAAAGGTGCTGGCTTGCAGTAACTTTCTTGTGCCACTGGAATCTTAAAAGGTTCAGCGTTTGACAAGAGGCTCATAGTTCAAGACGGTGGTAACTTTGGGATTTTTAGCCGTTACTTACTGACGTACAATGAGCCAGACTGATAATTATTTCGGATAACTCGGCTTTAATGTTGAGAGGCTCACAGAGCTGGACTATGGCTTATGTGGGGTTCATAGAGCTAGCTGGGGGAAGGAGAGTGCAGAGAGGTGAGTAGAGTGAGACGAGAGGGGGGAATTTGAAACGAATCACCTCAGACAGTAATGTTGAACACCAGACACGTTTTATTTAAGTTAATTCCACTTTCTAGGAGATATGTTTAAATGCCCAGGTAATTACTGGACTGTAACGACCTGTATCGACAACATGATTTTCACTGCAAGTCTCGTCGCACTTTTATTTTGCGATATATTATAAAGTGTAAACACTTGGAGGTGGGGGGGAGGGGCATATTGTTTTTAAATATTGTAGTGAATGTATCGGCCTCTGGTGGTTGCAGAGATCACGCGTACCCAACGCGCACAAACTGCGTTAAGGGACCTCCATTCACGAGCAATTCGGTTGCGTGCAACCGAATTGCTCGTGTGTGGACGTCCCTGTCGCAAGTTGCGAGCAGTTGTGCAACCGGTTTTCCTTCCAGCGGGCAGGATTGACTCGTGCGATCTGTACTCTTTGGTTCTATTGGGTAGTGACGTAGGTGAAAATAAAATAAAAAATCACGTTTCCGCCACAACACAAGCGGCCTTCATCAGGTGAAGGGACGAGACTGTCTGGAGGACAGCGCTGGAGTGGGAGAAGCCACGCTTAGATCACGACCTTTAAGCTTGTGATCGCGGCATCTTTTGAGGAAGGTCAGCGTCTCGATGAGTTGCGACTTCTTGTCCCGTTGTCTGTTAAAAGCTCTAACAGATAGGTGAAAGCCCTCCCCATAGAGGTTATCAATTCTAGATTTAAAGCTTTCGTGACTGCTAGGATCCATACTCTTTGGTTTTATTGGGTAAAGTCACGTAGGTGAAAATAAAATAACAAAAAATCACGACGTTTTGGCCACAACACAAGCGGCCTTCAAAAGCTTAAAGGTCGTGATCTAAGCGTGGCTTCTCCCACTCCAGCGCTGTCCTCCAGACAGTCTCGTCCCTTCACCTGATGAAGGCCGCTTGTGTTGTGGCCGAAACGTCGTGATTTTTTGTTATTTTATTTTCACCTACGTGACTTTACCCAATAGAACCAAAGAGTATGGATCCTAGCAGTCACGAAAGCTTTAAATCTAGAATCGTGCGATCTGCTCCAACGGATTTGTAGCGCCGTATGTAATCAGGGCCCATATTTAACAAAATCGCCTTGCCTACAATATCGGGCAGTTCAACAGCATCGATGCAAGCAAGCTAACAAAATAGAGAGTCGACAATACACCTTTATATATTCGTATTTCCATATAAAAAATATATATATTTACACAACCCATTGGGCCCACGGCCTTCTGGGAGTGAATCATTTTCAGCAGCATTGATTGAGCAAACAGGATCGATGTTTAGTCACTCGTCAGCAGGCAGGCCTAATTGTATAAATGCTGAATCTGCCAAATGTTGAAGGCAAGGTCCCTCAAAGACATGGGACCTAGTTAGATGTGACATCATATAACACATCTCGATGTGGAAGATATTAATAAAATATACTGGCAGACAATGCCTCCTTCAATGAATCCCAGCACCAGCAGTCTCAAGGTGATCCGATGAGCCAACGACTGTCAGTCTAGGTCGCATCTCAACACAACAACCATCACTACCCACCACCACCACCAACCACAACCCACCCAACCACCACAACCCACCCAATCACCACAATCACAACCCACGCCAGTGCACCAATCGTGAGGCCCAGCAAAAGATCTCCCAAACCATCACAGAGCAGCATGACCCCATACGTGATTTTATTGTAAGGTCCCAGATAATCCCTATTATGTTATTATTATATTGTCCTACAAGAGCCCTCGTAGATGGTGATATGGTTGTAATGTCTCAGGCAAGCCCCAGTGCCACAATGTTATGGCGGTAAGATCAAAAGGCCGCTAAATGCAATGTTATGGTTGTAAGGTCCCTGCGAGGAGATTCCCCACACCATGAAGTAATGATAATTAGGTCCGAGAGAAGCAGCAGCAAGGCCCTGCAGAGTTCCCACGCTGCTACGCTGCGGGAAACAAGGCCTGGATTCTCCCGGGGACGCAGGCATGGTGTGCAGCTTACGGCACTTATTTGTCGTACTCTCGACGCAAGTCTTATTCTCCCCAGCTCAGTCATGGCATACGCTCAAGAGGATGGCAGAAAAAGACTCTTTCAAGGACGTCCCTCAAGGCCAACATGAAGGAGTCCAAGATGGACGCCAACGCCTGGGGTGACTCGTATTGCCCGGGATCGTCCCAGATGGAGGAAGGGGTTCCCCTTGCGAGGATCTCGGCACTTCGGAAATCCTACAACGACGACGACACGGGGAAGGCAAAGGGTCAGCGGCGGAGGACGGCAGCAGCGTCGTCGCCGACTGAACCGGCGACCCAGGGCCACGCGCCCCGCCGGGAAACACGCGGAGCACGAGACGCGACTCACAGAGCCGGTCAATACCGGAGCATCCGCCCCGTCGGCCACCTTTGGACCCACAGATAAGGCACCGAGATTTGTTTATTCAGCAAATGCTTTAAAGCGTGACTTTTACACAGTTAAATAATCAGATACACAAGAAAATGCATTCATTAAATTACCACATATGTATGACAATGTTATACGGAGTGGAGGACAGGCCACGTAACCGCATAGCCTTTTGAACCCCCCCCCCCCGCTACTCCAGCACGTACAGTGCAGTAATTCTGCTCTGCATGCCCTGAAGGCATTGATGGAAGACAATAATTGTCAACAGCGAGAGACTGACCAACAAGATTTGTTAGGGAGATGAATCTACCAGGGTATATTTGAGACAACATAATACTGCAGTTATGCCAAATTAATGATTCTAAAACAATATTTTCCTACCTAAATGTCACGCCGACACAAATCTAATTCGTGACTACGCTTTAGACCACACGTACCTGAAGTACAATCTGCGGCGAGGAATGCCCTCAGTACTGACCTGTGAATGCCTACTCTGTGCATTTCGTCCCATGCTTTTTTTGTGCATTTACAAAAAAAACATTTAAAAAATTCAGAACAATTAAATGTATTATGGTCACAAAACACACACCAAATTGTGAAATGCACAATTACTTTCAATTCTTCAACATTAAGGGTCTTTAAAACCACCATAGACTTGCAGATTCATAACAACCATCCTACTAGAGCCAAACATGATGTCGAGCATTAGTGGAATTGTAACCCTCTCAAAGCCGGTTGGACTAATTTGAAGAGAGGCTTTCCAGTAATAAAACAGATAAGCAGGGAATATGTATCCTTCATATATACAATTTTTCCACGGAAGTATTTCTTCTGTGATGGGCATTTTTCATTTAAACGGGCAATTTGTCAACAGTAAATTAACGCTCTACACATTTCAATTAAATGTAACAACAACTTAATAACACTTCACACATCCAGATTGAAAACCCATTTCCGTGGAACTGTTTTTGGGGATTTTAGTTTAGTTGTCCTTCCCCACGCACCTCCGATTAGCACGGTGGGCTACGTACGGTGTGAAAAAGGTTCAACATGCGTACGTACACATCCGCTACGTTTTAATCGTAGCAGTCACTTACCATTCGTTGCAACCCTCTTCGTGTGTGGAAGGCTATGACGTCGAGGTTGAGGGCCGGGATTGGGTGGTTGTGGAAGGCTCACTGGGTTTACTGTCTCGCTTCAGTAAGTCATCGACCTTGCACTGGGTGTTTTTCGAACGTTGCATTTTAATCACCCGGCGCCTGAGTTGCTTTACACGAGCAAAGATATCGCGGTCAATAATTTCGCCACCTTCAGACGTCCCCATCCAACTGCAGATCACATCAAAAGCCTTCCTTACATCCAAAAGCAGGACCCTGTGCTCAACATCTCCCACCTCTCCCGTCTCTTCCTTCTCCTCTTCCTGGGGCACTGGGTTGGCGTTTTGGTCGGCGCTCTTCTCGTCGGCATGATGCTGGCCGCCGTGATCATCGCCACCCACATGGAGCCACTCCTGCGCATCCTCCGGAGCAATTACCCCTTCCGCCCCATGATTCAAAACACCCGCGAAGCCGTCAGCCTCAAGGTTAGGGTAGGAAAGCCTGATGTCTTCTTTCGTCATGTCCTCAGTCAAACGTTTTTTCCAGGCCTTGGCTAAATTTGAACATGGAAGTTCATTGCAGCCGTTGGCTGGATTGCCAACTGCACCCTTGATTTCGAACTCCTCAAAATTAGCCAATGTTCTCTCTGCTCGAGTGTCTCCTCCTTCATGCTCTTCAATCGCTGGGAACGACTCGATGCCTTTCCTTTTGCATTGTCGTTTAGTGGCCTCGGTGGTCGCTTGATCCACGGGCTGGAATCGGCGGGCCGTGTTCCGCGGGAGAATAACAACCTTGACACGACCGCAGCGACTGCTTGGAGGCTCCTCCACAAGACGGGCGGAAGTGTTGTCAAGGAGGAGCAACGCCCGGACGTCACCGCTGCAGGCGCCGTTTGCCTGCTGGAACTTGACGACGGCCGGCACAAAATCTCGATGGAACCAGCGTTCAAAAGCAGCAGCTGTCAACCAAGCCGAGGCCGAGGCATAGTAGGTGACGGAAAGGGAATCCACGCATTCTCTCAAGACTCGGGGCCGTTTTGACTTCCCCACCACAGCGACAGGGACGCGGTGGGAACCGTCCGCGTTGGCGCAGAATAAAACGCCCAAGCGCCCCTTGGGAATATTCCTGCCGGGTAGTTGCGCTTCATGTCTGCCGGCCTGCGTTGCGGAAGGAAGCCCGCGCTGACAGAAGCCGGTTCCGTCACCACTGCACACCTGGAAGTCCGACAGGTTCTCCCCGGGGATGGTGTCCTTCAGGCTCCTGCCGAACGGCCCCACCGGCTTCACATGCGTGCCGAGGCTTTCACCGGACACCTTCATGCGCTCCACGCCATGGCGTCTCCTGAAGCGGTATAGCCATCCCGTGGACGCGCTGAAGTCTTCGATGTTGAAAACGCTCGCAAACCGCTTGGCGGCACCCTGGATGTCGAAGCTGCGGATCGGAAAACCCGCGGCACGCTGCTGCTTGTACCACTCCATGGTGGCCTCCTCAATGTCTCTGTACTTAATGGAATGATCCATTCTTGTCCTCTTTTCTGTTACCTCCTCCGATGTCTCGAGTTGAAATTTGAGCAGTTTATGCTTGGCGTATTTCACGTCGTACACCGTCGATCTCCCAACGTTATATTCGGCCACGATCGATGGCACGCTCACCCCTTCTTCGAGTTTCTTCAGAATTTCTAATTTGGTGGCCAAATTTATGGATGTTTTAGGAATTCCCCGGTGTGAGGAGCCACCGATTGCTTTCTTCTGTTCCTTGGGTTCGGGGAAAGAAGAGAGTTCTCGTTAATTTTTGTCTGGTGTTCGGATAACGAACGTTTAAAAATTAGAGCGGGCAATATTGCCATGAGCAGGCCATGTGGTGGACCTGATGTGTCGAAGGGCATGGGCTCATCAATGGCATCAGTCTACCACGTGGTCTGCTTGTGGTGGCCTCGGAGCCATCTCGTTTATAGACACTGATTTCCTAAATAAATAAATGTCAAAACATGTATTAAATTTGTATTAAAAAAATACATATTTACATATATACCTTATATAACTATGGGCTATATAGTAAACCACTTTAGTCTACACTTCATCAACGGAAACAAAGCAACGCCACACCAACTCTCTCCTGAAGGCCTTTCCTGACGAGCAGCAAATCTCGACGCTCCCATTTAGCTCCCGAACATATTGCTGCCACACGCAAGAATAGAATACACATTTCAGCACGCAATTTATTCACGTGCATAAACTAAATCCGTGCAAGGTCACTTCTCGACTTGTCACGTGGCTGACCGATGCAACCACTGAATTTGTGTCCTCGGGCGTCCGCGTGTGCGGAATGACCGCGTGAACGCCATCGCATCCTTCCGTTGTGGCTGCTCTTAGAATTTTCTTAGCAGATAATTTTGTCCGAGAGCCACGGTGGTGAGATGTTATCTTCCTCGGCTGGTACGCAGGAGATCGGGGTTTCAATCCCGACCCTGACGCCTGCTGCATATTTGGAGTCTGCGTGCTCTCCCTGTGGTCGCGTTAATGTTTTGTTTGAGTCCACCGGTTTTTGCCATCCACATTTAGAAACATGCACTGAGATAATGTTTATTAATTTGGTTCTTTAAACGTCCAAATGATGGTGCCGCTTTGTTGGGCTATTATTTGTGGCCAGGTGGCTTCTCAAAAATAAGTTCATACCTCAGTGGGCTTTGCCTGGTAGCATGGGGATGGTTTAGTTTTATTTGTAATAGTTTGGGTTATTTGTTTACCTTTCTTGCACTTCTATCGTGTTGTTGCACTGTTTGTTGCTGTCACGTTCTTACCCGCCTCTACTGGACATCTGAATATAGAGTGTAATAGCTCATTGGATTTCTCCAGTATGAATAAATATTCTGATTCTGCACCCGCAAATTCTGGATTTGGGTTAACTCCAATGTAAATTGAATCGTGAAGGATGTCAAGCGTTACATCCTCCCAAGGGCACGTGTTAAGAAATTAACACAGGTAACCTGAGAGACAGGTAAAACTTGGAAAATGTCATCGTGACTTTAAGTACAAACAGAAAGCGGCGAGCTCTAGAATGTGGCTCCTCGCACAGATGCGGCTTCTCGCCAGTGTGCATTTACAGAACTGATTTTCAAATCGGAACTTTGTCCGAGAGCCTCCTTCGCACCTCACGGGTGTGCATTCGACAACGCTTCTCCAAAACGGGACGTCGCAAAAACCCTTTCCGCACACCGTACGCACGTGGAGCTTCTGTGCAGTGTGCGCTTTCCTCTACGCGTCTCTGTAACAGGTAACGATATGCAAGCGCCTTCCCTACACTCCTTTTTTTTACGAACGTGCGTTCCTCACGCCAGAGGCGCGTGTCACCTTATGCACTCCCGACTGATCAAACGACGTGGAGTCTTGAAAAGCGCACCACGCGGTGCCTTCCGGCGTCTCCCCGCACTCCGTGCAGGCTGGCGGCGTCTGGCCGGTGAGCTTCGCCTCCTCCGCCGTCGCTTCGAGGCACCGGCCAAAGCGTTTCCGGCATTTTTCGCACGCGAGTGCCGTCCCTTTGGCTTGGTCTGCCATGTGTGTTTTTCGAAAAAGGGGAAATGTAAAAACGCATATCGGCTGAGGTAGAGCAATAACAAAAAACGACACGAGGCGTTTTTGCGGGACGACGCCGAGAATTCTCCGAAACGATGTCACCGCAGTAATTAAACGAGGGAGCATTTACAGCCCTCGTTAAAAAAATGTCTCCAAAAACCATTTTTGTCTCGTAAGGAAAAGCCTAACATTCTTACCGGGACAGTCACGCGAGCCAGCAATCCAAGTACGTATGTACCTACAATATAAGTGTTTTGGGTTGCATCTTCCTTTAATAAGCCAAGACTGCGCCAACCTTTTTGTAGGTTGCTTATCACATCGATAAGAGCATTCCAGGCCACAGGGGTGGCAGCAGACGAAGGAGCGACTGCCCACTGAGAGGAGGTGAACTGTAGGGTGGGAGAATGCAAGGGATAACTGGAGTAAACAGCACGTGGTGGTGGGATTGAGGGGGGGGGGGGTAGTGGAGTGAGATGAGAAGGGGAGAGATAGGCAGGTGCTACGTTTATGGAAGACTTTTAACCTGGTGAGATGAGGGTGATCTTCTAATTGGCTCAGGATCGAGCACGCTTCCAGAGTTTGTAAATGGAAGACGTTCAGAGGCCATAGCGAGGAGAGGGTGGCGGCCGTAGTCGGGGCGAGGTTGGACGGGGGCACGAGCAAGAGTCTCGGTAAAGATCCTAGAAGTCTCATCCAGATCTGGAAGAACGCTGGCGATCAGAGTGGAACAACGCAGACGTCCAGAATAAACGCGTCACTCGAGACCGAAACATCGCGCCTCCTGGCTTTGACATTCCTCCTCCTTGAAGGCACTGCTGTAACCATCAACCGCAAGGGACCATCAACAGGCCGGTGCGCACATTTCCTTCATGAATGGAAAATTAAAGACGAGCCACAGTAGTGCGACTGTGACCATGTAAACCAAACTACGGACCGGATAGTAAACCGCTAGAATCTGTGCTCCTTCAAAGGGGAAGTGGTAAAACTACGCAAAGTCTCTCCCGAAGCCCTCTGGTGGCGAGCAGACCTCAACATTGGTATTTAGCTCCTGACCATATTCAGAATTTTTATCCGATGAGCTATGAAGCTCTTTCCACAGATGTCCAGTGGGGGTGGCTCAGAACGCTACAACAATACAAAAACACGATAGGAGTGCAAAGTATAGGAAAGGTAAGCAAATAGCACAAAAATACAAATAAACTAAACAATTTGTTTTCATCAGATAAAGCCCACTGAGCTATATTCGCTTCTTTTATTAGAAGCGACCCGACCACAAATGATAGCCCAACGAAGCTGCCAATCATGTGGATGCATAAGTGGCAGATGCCGGAGATTTTGCCAAAGTGGGTGTAAGAAGGAGGTACAGGGTGCTTCCCAAGTTGAGGCATGTGTGAGGGAAAACCAGAGGATTAATGACAAAGGAAATCAAGAGCTCAAGAATTAATTAAAACTCCAAATAGTTTATACACTCTGCCAGAATGATAAGATAGTCAAGGAACTAATGAGGATTTTTTTCATTCTTTTCTGATGAGGACGATTTCAGCTTTGTTGGCAATGCTCAGTGAGAGAAAGTAAGAACTAAACAAAGATGAGGCCGCGTCTCCAGGCAAGATAACGGAGGGGGGGGGGGGTGGGGGGGGGCCTCACCTTTACCAATCTCCTCCGATAAATCCTCCTTGATGGAGTTCTGGTCTGGGATGGTCAGGCATCCACGGGAATCCATCATATACTCTCGTCTCCCATTGGCTTCTTCAACTTTAACAATCTTCAAATACGAATCTGTAATTTAGAAAATGTGCCACAGACATCGAGGAATGTGAGGTGAAATATAGAGCATATCCGGCCACCCAGTACACATGGAATGTTGGACCAATGTGGTTGGAACCGTTGGACCAACATTGGCCCAACGTTGGCCCAACGTTGGCCCAACGTTGCATGTTTAATGGACACACAGGGCGGGCAAGGCTATTTATCCCAACATCAATGTGAGCATTTTCCGTGTTGCTGATTTAATCTTGAGATTTCCATCCTAAGAAATTGAGCGCTGTGTACTGTAGTCACGGCCAGCAGATTTAAACTGCTGGGCTGCCTTGGATTGACGTAGTTTTTTGTAACTAAACAAAATTCAGTACATCGCAGATCCGAACGCCACATCCGTCCTGACCAATTAACTGACCATGCACAGGGCTGTGTTTGTGGAATATGGTGTAACTGTCAGATGTCTACAGCGCTGTCCTACCAGACAGTCTCGCTCCCTTCACCTGATGAAGGCCGCTTGTGTTGTGGCCGAAACGTCGTGAGAATATTATTGTGTTATTTTATTTTATCAATTTATTATTTTATTATCATTCTACGTGACTTTACCGAAAGAACCAAAGAAGATGTCTACAGATGTTCGTACATCTCACCTTTACACAGACAGAAACATATTTTTAAAATGGCAGAAAAAAAACGTGACATTCAATTTCGATTTTGTATTATACATAATTCCATCCTCGATAATTGAATATTTTGATTTATTTTTATGCAACTAACACCTTGTACTGTGTAGAAACAAAAAATGTGTGCCCTCAGTGTTGATAAGAGACTACTGAAAAAAACCTCCTGTCCCCACCCACCACAACCTACAGAGGTTGACTTCGCTGTTGAGTTGAGGCAATAGAAACAGATATGTGTGTATGTTGAACTTGTTTCACACGGTGTGTAGCCAACTGTGCTAATCGGACGCGCAGGGGGGAGGTACAACAAAGTAAAGACAAAAGCAGTAATCAACCACGTGCAGCAGGCAGCAGCAGCAGCATAGCTTCAGTGCCGCACATGCAGCCACAAGCTCATGAGTTACATTAACTTGGGAAGATAAAATATGGTGGTCGATGTAAATGCTTGTCAGGAGATGAGTGAAGCTCACACGTTCAGTAGAGCCTCGTGCAAACACACAGTGGAACATTCCTGGAGGAATACAGAACTCTTCCATAGTCCGACTCTACTGCTGAGGCACCGCCGAAACTTGTCCAGAGTTTGCTCTTTTTAAAACAATTCTTTACACAATGGGTTGTGTAAAGAATACAGGATGGGTACTTTTATCTTTTTGTGTGGAGACAGATGGATGATGGGGACGTTTCTAACTGCGTATCTATTTTGATTGAAAGCTTTCGTGACTGCAGGGATTCATATTCTTGGTTCTTTCGGTAAAGTCACCACGTAGAAGGGAAACGATAAAATAATAACTATATATAAAACAATAAAATTCTCACGACGTTTCGACTGCAACACAAGCAATCATCATCAGGTGTGAAAACCACAGCAAGAAAATTTTAATGTTTCCCTTCTACGTGACTTTACCGAAAGAACCAAGAATATGAATCCCTGCAGTCACGAAAGCTTTAAATAAAAAATAGCTTTGTAAAGACTGGTTAATGCTGCCTGTTAAATGGTGCTGCACAATGATTCGTCAGGCGATATCATCAGAATTTAAGGTTTCTCGTCATCTCACCAGCATCATTATCCTCACGTTTCACCCTCGATTCCCAGCACACGGCAGGGCCCGGCACGTCTTCATTCTCCTGTTTGATGACTGGGACTTGAACCTGTGACTCCATCTGAGGAACAACAAAACATAGATGCGGAGACATTCAGGCATTTACACACACTGAAAATGTATACTTACGTGCATCCATAATAATAATAATATTCACTACAACTTGCAATCCGCCGCACAGTATTTGCTCAACTTTCGTGGAGAGAGAATTACTCAGAGGCGCGAGGAGAAATCGCAGACACGCGGGAAGCCAGCCGGCCAGTCGGCGCCAGCGTTCGTCCAAGCTCTGCGTTCCTCTACATATTGAATACGTACACTCTATGCGTGGATGTTGAACTTTTTCCGCACCGAAATGTAGCCGATTGTGCTCATCAGAGGTGCGGTGTTATCGGCGACGCGCTGGGCTGGCGCTACGAACCGTTGCCCACGCTCTGCGGCCCACAATATGTAAGAAGGCGATATCTTATTCATATTCTTAGCTCTTTCGGTAAAGTCACGTTGAAGGGAAAACAATAAAATAATAAAATATATATAAAACAATAAAAATTCTCACGACGTTTCGACCATAACACAAACGGTCGTCATCAGGTGTGTCGGTTCGCATTAATTTATTTATTTTTAAACGGCGTGCTTATTTATTTATAAAAACGTCAGCGCCACGCGCAGCGATTTGTCAGTTTATTTAGAAGGACTAGTCTATTTATGTTCTGAAAAGAGGAGGGGGGAGACGAAAAATTAATGTATGCTGTCTGAAAGCCACTGTAAGCATGAACAATCAATTAAGACCTGAAATGGTTAATCAAATCTTTCCAATGATTGCTAAGCCAGAATCCATCTTCTCGGTTGAAATTGTCTCTGTGCTTGTATATGTGGATAGCCTCATGAACGAATCTCTCATGGTAGCCAGATGGCTTACAAAGAACCTCTGTCTTGGAGAAGTCAATGTCATGTGAGCCTACTGAATTATAACAATGATCTGCCACGGCCGAGGTGTTGGTCCTACCATGTTTAAGATCATTGTTATAATTCAGTAGGCTCACATGACATTGACTTTTCCAAGACAGAGGTTCTTTGTAAGCCATCTGGCTACCATGAGAGATTCGTTCATGAGGCTATCCACATATACAAGCATAGAGACAATTTCAACCGAGAAGATGGATTCTGGCTTAGCAATCATTGGAAAGATTTGATTAACCATTTCAGGTCTTAATTGATTGTTCATGCTTACAGTGGCTTTCAGACAGCATACATTAATTTTTCGTCTCCCCCCTCCTCTTTTCAGAACAGAGATGGACTAGTCCTTCTAAATAAACTGACAAATCGCTGCGCGTGGTGCTGACGTTTTTTTTATAAATAAATACACCGTTTAAAATAAAGAAATTAATGCAAACCGACACACCTGATGACGACCGTTTGTGTTATGGTCGAAACGTCGTGAGAATTTTTATTGTTTTATATATATTTTATTATTTTATTGTTTTCCCTTCAACGTGACTTTACCGAAAGAGCTAAGAATATGAATTACTGCAGTCACGAAAGCTTTAAATCAAAATTTAAGGCGATATCTGTCAAGTAAATTTTATCTGTCAAGTAAATTTTGATTTAAAGCTTTCGTGACTGCAGTAATTCATATTCTTAGCTCTTTCGGTAAAGTCACGTTGAGAATTTGTATTGTTTTATATATATTGTATTATTTTATTGTTTTCCTTCAACGTGACTTTACCGAAAGAGCTAAGAATATGAATATCTGTCAAGTAATGAGTGTTTACATGCGGGAGGAATCCGCGGCGCTCAGAGAAAACCCACGCACGCAAAGGGGGAAACTCTTTCCCATACAGATACTGCGAGCCAGGGTAATGTTACGTAACGAAACGGGCATTTTCTTTTGAATGGCAGTAACTTGGGTGAAAGAACATTTGGACGTAGAATTCCGTTTCTGGGATATTGATTTCATTAGATACACGACAACCGTATTGCAAAGAGGAACAACTACGAAGCTGTCGTGGCTGCTACACTGCGAATAACGGGGCGCCCTCTACAACATTAAATCTTTGAGCCGGGGTGGCTCCTCCTAGACGCCCACGGGTAGGGAGTTTTACAGCACTTGTGACATCTACCAACCCTCGCTTCTGCCTCCACAGTGCTGGATTACTTTCACAACTCTACAGTGGCCTAGTAAACTACATCGTCAGCTCAGGGCGTGCGGCAATCGGTCAGGTGTGGCCCCAATATTTGCTTCGTCTCGCACGGTCGCACCCAGGCTATCTATCTATACCGCCAATCCTCTTGCCTAAAGCGGCAAGCACATCGTTTAGCTCGCACGGTCTCGGACATTTAATGATGTAGGGGCCGCTTCGTCGTCGCAATATCGCAGCCACTCCAGCCCCGTAGTGGTTCCTCTTCGCAAGAAAGTTGTCGCGTGTATAATAAACATATCCCAGAAAACGGAATTCTATGTTCTTTTAACTCAAGTTACTGTCGTTCAAAAGCAAATGCCGTTTCGTTACGTAACATTGCGTTTTCTTTACAGTTTTAAAAAATAAAAACCTGTCTAACCCCCAATACTGGAATTGTTCAGAACATCTCTTGTGGTGATTATCAGATGAAACGGGGGGGGGGGGGGGGCCCAACTCGTAGCTTTGGCCACCGTTGGGGGGCACCACGTGTGCCCCCTCACTGTGCCAGGCTAGGTGCAGGAAGAGGTCACGGGACAGACCCAGCAGGTGCCATGGGTCGACTGAGATGACCGGTAGATGCACCACGTGTGCCCCCTCACTGTGCCAGGCTAGGTGCAGGAAGAGGTCACGGGACAGACCCAGCAGGTGCCTTGGGTCGACTGACTGAGATGACTTGCCGATGCACCACGTGTGCCCCCTCACTGTGCCAGGCTAGGTGCAGGAAGAGGTTACGGAACAGACCCAGCAGGTGCCATGGGTCGACTGAGATGACTGGTCGATGCACCACCTGTGCCCCCTCACTGTGCCAGGCTAGGTGCAGGAAGAGATCACGGGACAGACCCAGCAGGTGCCTTGGGTCGACTGACTGAGATGACCGGTCGATGCACCACGTGTGCCCCCTACTGTGC